AGGATTCACCATGATTGTATCACGGAGTGTCTCCGCGAGTGTAACTTTAAGGTCGTCGCTATCGGAAGGCTCACGGAGGTCGTGCTCGGAGACGAAATCAGATATAGCTGAAATAACTGAGATCTGCAAGGGAGCCGTCATGCTAGCAGGGAGGGAAGGCATGAGATCCTGCAGGGCTCGGATACATGACACCTTAACAACTTCCGAAGGATCTTCCGAGATGGCCTTCAGGGTAGCCTCGAGGTAGGAAGCGGCTGTCGCACTGAAGGCCTCACCTGCAACCTGGGCTAAGATTCCAGCCACAAGGTAACCACGAGCTCGAAGAAACTCATGTTCCTGTTGGATGGAAAACTGGATAAGGTTACTGAGACCAGTGGCCAGTTCAGGGGAAATCGGTTGGGACACTTCGTGGAAGTCTCGTAGAAGTTGATTCAGAATGAAAAATGCCGATTCGCGGGATTTCCAACTATCGCCCGAATCACGAGTTAGATCCACTTTCAAATGCCATCTCGCACACCAAAGGAATACTTACGTTGAAGAAGAATCAGCAAACACGTTATTCAGGTAGACAAGTAAGCCCTCGGCCGTAAGACCCTTCAGCCATTCACCAAGTTTGATTACCAGGTCACCGCTACATGTGCGAGGGGTATAGTTGGCTGTGACAGATGTCTCCTCTGAAAGGAAAAGGTTTACATCAATGTCCCACAAGCCCTCCTCCTCTGTGGTGATCTGCGCGTACGAGCTGGCTAGCTTCAGAATTTCGGGCAGCCAACTGGAGCTTGTCGCAGCCTGTCCCGCGTTGTGTAATTGCTGCTGCAGTTCTGCTTTTACGGGGGGTGCTTTGATTAAGGTCTGGATCAAATCCAACTCCTCCAGGACCAAAAAGTCCAGAGTATAGGGAAGCCCATCCACATCTTCCAGACGGCCTTGTCTCTCGTCGTTGATATAGAATTCGTGGTAGGCAGTCTGGATATTGGACAGTTCTGTCCATATGGTAGAGAAGAAAACCGGGCTCTGGCCCGTCATAAGAGCCGGAAAGACCATGCGGATCTTCATCAAAGTCTAACAGAATGATGTATGGTCAGCCTAAGGGCCTTAGAAGTTCCATGTGTCAGGGGGATATACCTTAACTACTTGTAACTTGAGTCCGATAATACCTCTCCAGTTCGAAGGTATCTCACCCTCCTTGCTTTCTTCTTCCTCAGTAGGAGCCTGCGGTAAGGGTGCCTTCAAGGTCGAGATGAAGAAAGGAAACCAGCCGCCAAGTACCTCGTCCATAAATTGTTTGACCGCAGTTTTGTGTTGCTCGAGTACCATCTCCAACGTATCAAAGCACGAACGGAACACTGCGACAGCCAAGGCTCGCAGCATAGGTTTCCTTGACTCATTGGTTGCGACATTGAACAATGAGGTAAGAAGATCCCTGGCAACATTGAAGAATTGCTCTTCGTTGAACCCTGTGTCTACAAGGTCCAGGAGGACCTTTAAGGCACCATGCAGAGCACTAGCTGTGCTGTTGGCATCGTTGATGATCTGAAGGATTGCAGGAAGGAGCTCTGGCCATTGCTCGGGGAAATCGGCGCTGGCAATCTTACTGACCGCAAAGCTTGCAGATGATTTAACCTTGCGCTCTGGTGTTTCTGTGACGGTAGCCAGGTCCAGCAAGACTCTGCGAATCTGAGACTTATTCACATCATTGATCAATATCTGGCCCTTGAACTCATCTAGATTCGGGGACCAGGCGGCAGCGATGAAGGTGCGCAGTACTGACAGGGCCGATTGGCGGAGGTTGATAGGAACGGAATCGTGAGAAGCGATAGCAGCGAGGGAAAGAGGAAGGTTCTCGTTCGAATAGAGACGAAGGAGTTGAAGCTCAGCAGATTTCCTCGTATTAGCGACCGGGGATTGCGTGTCCGCAAGCAACGAGAGGAGCTCTTGCTCCATGGTGGAAGGAACTGGTACTTATCGAGGCGGAAGGCTAGTCTAGTTGATAGGAGACAGTCGGATACGACTTGCTGGAAGGGATTGAGTATACAAGAATCAAGCCAATCGTCAGTACAAACCAGGCTCTCTGTACAGACCCCTGTCCCTGTTGGTAACACTGGTAGGTTTTGGAATACTACCACTTGACCGACACGACCGCGAATTGGCGTGTTGTAAGGAGGGGCAGTTGATAGAACAAGGCAGAAAATAAGGCGGTGAGTTGGATTTTATGGAACAAACTAAGTGCGATAAAGATGGTACCTGCCCCATGGCCGGCGACGAAGAACCATGGGAACGCAAGCCTTCTTTACCAACCGATTTCTTCTGCAAGATAGTTGTACCGAGAGGTCATCAATTGTTTCCTTTACTTCCCCTCTCTTTTGTGTCACTACAGTCTCTCATATGTGTTTTTACCCTCCTCCTAGATTAAAACCTACTTCCTTGTACGTCAGACTCATCACAGATAAATTTTCTTTTGTATTGAAAATGTATGTATAGAAGTGATTCAATAGGGGCATGAATATGGGCAGGGGGAGCACCGTCGCACAGCAGAAATATCCGACACATGTCAACTGATATAAAGACCGATGCCTATAGAACTGCTAGGACTACGAGGTCTTTATGTGCTGTACGTTTTTTACTTTTCCTCTCGCATTTTTTTTTGGCAGGTGCAGGTATGATGAACCTCACCGGCGTATACTATGCTGGTCTGACGTAGATGGCTGAGATTCTTTATTACAAGATGGACGCACTTGGCAAAATAGCAGAAGATCAATCGGAATGTCATAATCAGAAGTATTTCTGTGCTACCCGCTGTGCTGCTCAGACTAGGGGGAAATCGTACGTAACTGACCATTCTCATAGGCGATTGTAGTGGGGGTCATAAGGGTAGTTCGGCATAACTGTATCTTCCACTTACGGAGTAGATGGTTCAATTGAGGGGCGAATTCCTAGGGAAATTGGTCTAGTAGAAGTATGGATGTGCGGAACAGGTACCGTACATACATGGGTAAGGTACTTGGTAGATCCCACGTAAAGTATGCTTAATACCATACAGCGGTCGTCTCAGGTACTGTATGTATGTACAGACATTGGAAATAAAACCTCACTCTTCCTAATTGCCATTTTTTCTTTTCCCTTTCATCTTTTGTTTCTTTTTACTTTCGATTTTCTGCTTGGCTCTGGTGCCAAGGGATTATATTCAAGAGAGGAAAGCTATAAGATCTGCAATAAGATAGGTACATAGTTACCCTCCCCAAACAGTAACTACCACTCGTCCAGATCCTCTGTATATCTAATCAGCCAGAAGCATCAGTGCTACTAGTAGTAGAATTTATTCACTAAGAGTACGGTACTGGACTATTTTATAGCTATGCAATACAGTCAAAGTACTTTTTTATACATTGAGGTCATAAAAGCAAGGGGCAGGGAGCTAATGAAGAGACCAGAATGAAATTAATGCTAAAATTGAGTAATGGTTGATGCTGTGGTAGTATTACCATTCTCTTTATGGTTTTTACTGACATTAGTATCTTTTATTATAATTATTTTATCTCATTTGGTTTCTGTAGTATTGTACTTAGCTAGTCCTTTTAATCTCCCCTTCTACTAATTGACCAAACATAAGATATACTCAAGAGTATGGATACTATAAATGAATATTACCGCTGTTACTGCTGTTACCTACGTGTCGATTCAGGTTTCGCTTTTACCGTAGTCGAGATGATCGGCCAAGTGGACTGGAGCAACTTATCCCACCCATACTTTCACTCGGTGGGAGGGACTAATCTGGTGGGGAAAGAGAAGCACTTAGAAATATTTAGTTACGATGCATTCTCCGTATTGAATTTTGAGTCAGCATGCTGTACAAGGTCGTGTGTGTGTCACTGCGTACTGTCTTGGGTACAAGGTGTGAGAGGGTATAGTTAAGTTGTACTCCAGAGTGTATAGATCTATACGAGGGAATATCGGTGATGAGCATGCCGATGCCTCTTTCTGTTTCAAGCTATTCTCTTTTTAATCTTATTTGATTATTATTTTTTAATTATCGATGAAAGAAAAAATTCTACGGATTCGCCATCAACACATCTGTCATAATGATGCATAATGTAAACTTTTTGCCATCTGCTTTTTTTTTCGGGTTCGCCCCCCATAGGGATGTATCATGGATGTATGTACTATGACATTATTTCGCCTTTCCCATTTCCTTTTTTGATTTTCAATTTCTATTTTCTAGGAGGATTCGTTCTGCTTGAGAGTTCTGCAACGCATCCACACCCATGACGCAACCACGTGACAGATTTGGAGTCGTGACTTGGGCGCCTTTTCCTTGACGACTCTTGACCGTCGCCCGACAAGCCTTCCCCTCCGTAGGACTGCTTTGCCTACTGACTCTTTTTGTCTCTCTCTTCTTCATATTTTTTTTTCTCTCTCTTCAGTTGTTGTGCTTTGCTTGCGTGTGTTTTATTCTCCTCGCTCTCTTTGGTCCCTCTCTCGCTTTTGGGACTGAGCAGTTTTTTGCCGTACTCGACTCCATCAAAACCCCAAGCAGAACCCACCTCTCCCTTCCACCCGGCAAAGGGTTGGTTTTCCTGTTGTCTGCCCGCCTTACACTCACTCTCCTCTCCCCAGACGGGTAGAAAGGGAAATTAAAAATACAAAAAGAAAAAGGGAATATAATTTTTTTTCTAGTTCCCTTACGAAATTTATTTTTAAAAGAAGGTTTTCAGGAACAAAAACTTCCGAGGGAGAGGGGATACTAAAAAAGAAAAATAACTAAATAAATTCCAGCCAGGGCAAAAAAGAAAAAAAAAAACAAAAGGAAATAGTATTTCCCATTATCATCAACTTTTATCGTCTACGCCATTTTCCTTCTTTGAACGCATCACAGATTCTGTCGCCGATTGTCACGACCTCAACGACATTGCATCCATGCTCTGAGGCTTGCTTGTTTCGTCTTGTCCACCCAACGTATGTTTAATCCGAACAGTGCTTCCTTACTTTGACTTACAACCCCCAATCCACCAGCACCCCTCCTCCCTCCTCCCTCTTTCCCTCCCTCTCTCTTCCTTTCCCTTTTCTCACCTTCGGGCAAACACCCATCCCATCATCCACTCTATTCCTGTTGGACTTCCCACAATTTTCACCCTAATTTGGTGTATTCGTTCCACCCCCTTGGAAAAAAAAAAAAAGAAAGAAAAAGAAAAAAGAAATTTCATACTTATCATTCGATTTGACATTTGGTTCTTATCTTCGACTATCTCCGTCTTTTTTTCTTTTTCTCGTTTTACTTTTTCTTTTCGCTTTTCTAGAATAAACTCTCTTCGATCCTCCTCCCCTCCTTCATTTTAACCACACTCAACTCGAAACCCCCATATACTCCCCCCACTTTCCCCTCCCCTCTGATTGTTGCAGAAGCAAAAGTCAAAAGAGAAAGAGAGAAGGAGAGAACATCATCCAGATCCATTTCATGCGTGGCAGAAAAGACCGTTGTTGACCCATCGTCTCGAAAAAGACAGAGCGATGATTAGCCTCAGGGTGGAACAGCACTCAGATTCTCCGAGATCCCGTCAAGACCATATTTCCCGTGGAAACGACGACACCAGAGCCTTCGACGGCAATGCCGATTGCCAGTGAGAGCAGCACGACCGTCAACCCCGTGACTACCACCATGACAACATTTTCCGCCCCAGTGACCGCACCTAGATCGATGCCCAACAATCAGTCTGCGTTGGCGGCATCCTTCACCAATTTCCTCACCGTTTCAATACACCAAATCTTATTTCTTCGTTCGGTCTATCCGCGAGCGACGTTTTTGCCCGTTCGAGCCTACAACTATCCGGTCCGACAGTCCCGTCACCCGAAAGTGTGTGATTATATCAATGACGCGTCAATTGCGGTCGGGACAGAGATCTTGAAGGGCACAATCACCGCAGTCAGTATCATCATTTCATCTCTCCGCACCAACCAACCCCTCGAACGATATGCTTTTGATCTGTCGGGTTTCCCCCGCGTCCCCGCTGGAGAGATCAATACCACCTTTGAAGATAGAAAGGAAGATTCATCCAAGCCAGGTGCCCCCTTATCGGATCGGGGTTCCGCTCCTCCGCCAGTCGACCTCGAGGCGCAGTTCCGTGCCTGTCTCGCCCGATTGGCCTCCGCTTGCGCCCGATTAACTCCGTTGCCCCGGGACGACGAATTCAGTTTCACAGTCTGCATCGAAGTTCGGGAAGATGCCTTGCCCCCTGCGGGTACTACAACAGAAGAACAAACTTGGATTGTGGCTGAACCGGGCAAGGTCCATCTCCGGTCGTGTACCGCACCGTATTCCGTTTCCAAACTTCGAAACGGCGAGCCACAACAACCTCCCCCCAGAGTATCGAACGGTCGCGCCAAAACGGTGCCTGTACGACGTGTAGAAGCTGGTGAGCTTCGTCTGGAATTATGGGTGGAAGAGGCACGACAGAAATTTAATGAGCCGGTGGATTCAGAACATCCTCCATGAATCTGGCTTTCTGTTGAAATCGATTTTCTATCCTCTTACCTCTGTTCATCTAGTCATTTCATTTTCTTTTTCCTCAAACTTGTTTTTGCACCTTACCATCTTTTCTCCCATTTATTTCACTCTTGTTTTAGCGTGACCAATGATCGAACATACATGATGGATGAGGGCATAGGAATTGTCGTCCGAGTGAGTGGCGCAAATATATAAAATGGGGGGCGGACGATTTTTGGGACTCGCATGGCATTACATAGATCTGGTTCATATCTTTCATTTGCTGTTTTCACTGCTCCGTCTTTTTTCTCCGTCACGTTCCTTCTCCATCTGTTCTTCACTACCATCTTCTATTCTCTTCTTCGCTTACCTTTCCTTCTATTTTGATCACCTTTTTCTCCAATATTTTCTCTTTGCTTCGTCGGACTGTTTCACTTCCATACCATTTCCTCTTGTATTTCTCTCGTCTCCTTTGTCGAACACTCTCCTACTACATGATCCTAGCAAATTCAAATATCTAGCAACTAGCTACCAGACCGGTCCCCAGTCTTGTCAGCACCGCCGTTAGTGAAGATCTTTCGAGTCCTGTCCTGTCCGTAATTGATAATATTATATCCCCTTGATTGTGGCAGTCTGTCATTTTTTTTTTTTGCTGGTCCTGTCATCTGATATGCGTTTCACATCTCCGTTTGCTCTTTTGGTTTGCTGGTCCTGTCACATGGGGTCTTGGAAAAGTGTTTCATTCTGCATGTAGCAGGTCTTGATGCTTGGATATGGCTGATAATGAGATGCGGGCACTTAGAACTTCAGAGCAGGAAACCTTTACACGGAATCTCAAGGATGATTGTGGCTATTGAAATATGAAACTTGGGTGGAAAGGCACATTTAACCAACTTGCGTGAACGGGCTGTAAAAGGGTTCTCGCTTTTGGCCTTGTCACCCAGAGGAAGAATTCCTGAAACCGATCATCAAGCGAACGCTTACATATGTGAATGGTGATCCAGCCCCTGATCTATTGCTGTCGCTGGGGTGTGAATTGTTCGAGTTTTGTTCTGCTACCTGGTATATGCTGATTTCTATCTATTTACGTCGTTTATTACTGTGTGATGATTGATGGCAATGAAGTTATTGAATTAGACTACGTAGTTTCTTGCATCTATTTGGTCCATGTTTACTCCTGTATATATTGATCTCCAGCGTCTGATCTGGCCTATAGTAAGTAGGTTCAAGAAGGTTAAGAACGGCCCTAACGTAGACCAGCAAAGTCTAAATGTCTATCTAGAAGCCATAAAGATGCTAGCGTAGGTAATACTAGGTATAGCTTGTTGATACTATAAGCATAAATGAGACATTCTGAAACAATGAGGATCGCACTAAGAGCCACAAGTGGCTGACGGCCTGTGGCTATATGGGTCCAGTTTACCGTGATAATCGGGGTTCTATCCTCTTCAACCAGGAAAAGATACAATCAGTCGCTCTTCCAAGATCTGAAATGCCACTTTTGGGCTTCAAACACTTATTAATAAGTCAATTGTCGACTGGATATAGCTATATGGCGTCATGGTGGCTCATACCCGAATTGATGCCTTACCGGTCACAATATTTGGGCTCGGTTAACATTCTCTGATGATTTTGCCTCGGGCTTGAAATATCCTTGCTATCGCTAGGGTGTCACGACAATAATACGTTCTAGAAGCTCCAATTTAGCTATGGAGCAGAGATCAGAGGATGTTAGGTGCATATATATTTTGAAAATGTTTGTGAAGTCTATACATACATGATGACAATCATAAGCAACAGCGCAACAATTCAGTACTGCTTGCTACACTTATTCCCCGGGAATAGCATATGTCGGACCAAGGTCGTATAGTTCCATGGGTTCAACTTGTACATAGTACCCAGTTACTAAACATACTTCCATATCTGGTTAGTACTTCGCTAACCCAACAGTAGAGATTCGTCAGTAGGGATTTGTTTCCCCAGTGAAAATAATCAATTCTCAGATCTATGTGACTGGCAATAATAACTGTTGGCAATGCCTTGTAGTCTTGGAGTTTACAAACATTGTCAGTTGCAGAGGGTGTCGCACTAGATTAAAAGGGTAAAAATAAAATGTTGGTATAACCGGGACCGTTATCAGAAGACAATACAGCTGTCAAGAGTAAGAACTGGGTCCTTGAGACTACAAGAGCGTGCCTCCCACGATTATAATTACATTAAATTTACACTGTCGAAGTTCCCAAGTTAATTTACAGGTTAATAGTCAAGGGCCAGGATTTTTACCTGAATGAAGGTTCATCTTAACTCAAATCAAGGCAGAGAATAACCTTCTGGCAGTAGAAGATTCTACGCATTTTCACTGCCAGTAGCCACATTTGCGCCACTGTCCATGGCCATAAACTAGGATGTATCTTGGAATGCCAAGTAGTGACTGCTGGTACTACCTGGCAGGTTATGGTAAGCTGGGAAGTCTCTGCATTGGAATGGAGGGTACTTCTATTCGACTCACAGGTATATCAATCTTCAGAGCCCGCCGTCAATCCTCATCAAAACACCATAAGTCTATATCAATACTATTGGATTAGAATTACTCATCACAACTCTTAGCTGTTTAGCATGCCCTCAACCAAGATAGATATCCCAAATGGCCACAGCATGCCTAAGACGCACAACCTCAACGTTCACGAGCACCGCTACGATGCTAACTTTTACGACACCATGGCCACAATTATGTCGTTGCGACAGACATATATAAAAGACCGATTTATCTTCGTCAAGGGAGAAGACATGATCCCAATTCTCAAAGGCCTGGGAGCTAGGGACGCTGATTTCGAACGCTTAAAGTCAATTACCGACCAGACAAGCCCTGACCCGACTCTTGACTATCGTGCTGCGTCTTTTGGTCGCTACTGTATTGATTTTGAGGCAAGAGACATTCGGCGGTTAGAACCACAGCCATACACGCTCACTGTTCAAGAGGACTGGAAACGTCACGATTCTGCAGTTCGGAGGACCTTTGCCGAAACACCAGCTGATATGCAAGAGAATACAGTGGTACAAGCGTTGATGATCTTCAAGGCCCTAGTGTTCCAAAATGTATCTATCACTCCGCGTGATCGGCTGGACTACTCCTCGCAGAGCTGGGTCTGCATGATGTTCAATGGTCGAATAGTCACCGATATCTCGAAAGGAATCTTCGGTGAACCGGCTCTTGAAGGCGTTCACTCTGATGGATCGGATCACACGATATCAGTTCTATTGAGATGTGATAATATGAGGCCTGACAGTGCAGTTACCTTCCTGCACGACAATGAAGAGACAACGGGGGTGCCCGTCTCAAAAGTGGAACCAGCTTTGATCAAAGCACGAGTCCAGCATCGTCACTTTCTTGATACGCTACTCTTCGTTGATCATGACTACAAGCATAGCGTAACATCACTGCACCCGCTGTGTCCATCATCAATTGCACTTCGTGACGTGCTAGTGGCGTTTACCCGCCGGCCAAAGATGGAGGGGCATATTTCAGGATATAGTGACTCGATGGCCCTGCACACCGAATCGCCAATGCAGATTCCCTTATGGCTTCCAGAACCTGCGACTTGACTCACACTTTGCAAGGATGATAGGAATGGGCGGGCAAGCTGCAGTTATTCCATGTTTTCGAGTTTCTACGTCCAATATTTCTATAACAGAATGCGATTTCACATTTTGATTGGGTATTTGCACTGCAAAGAGCGGCTATAGATTCTTTCACTCATTCATATTCAGCCAATCGACTCTCAGTATGATAGTCCGGTAAGAAAACTCACTACCGTGCTTGGTTGACCCTCAACTACTTGCCTGGTTGGGATTTTAAGACCAGCGCACGTATATCAGCTGGGTGATAGAAGAAAGTGCTTTCTAAGACAAAAGGCAAATACATGGGCGGAATACACTTTACTCTCCAGATGGACGATAGAGTTATAGTGTAGGGGAGGAGAGAGCGTTGAGTAAGCGGCATGAACATTTTTGTCCCGTTGACAGACGGGGGGAAGGAATCGGTAGATAACATAAACACAGTCATTGAGACTCAAAGAGTACTGAGTGAGTGTGCTATGATTGAAGATTGATGTGAGCAACTGCGCGATACCTTGAACCGGTCATGATTGCTAAAGCGACGGGCAGAGTTGCTCATTGGTAGAGGATATGTAGGTTATATCTTGAGTAGAGGGGTATGTATACCTTCCGTCTCAGAGCACGCTACTCATTCTTTGGTTCCAGTAGGTGACTTGTACAAGATACCCAGAGTTTATCTGACAGGCCTCTTACACCCCCGTGACCTCAGACGTGACAAATACTCGGTATTCAGTCCCGTCCCTAGTCACGACAATAGTTCTCAGCTACTTTGTTTCTTCTAATCCTAATGGAATACAACTTCCAAGCATGGACCAGCTAAGAAGTTATACATCCAGTATGGCATCGGAAATACCGATGGACGCTAACGAAGCGCTTAACGACTTCTATCGTGACTACCCACACATCATCTTCATTAGATTACAATGGCAGGACTACTCGGGAGTAATGCGTGCACTTGTTTTACCGATAGAGGAAGCATTCATCATATTAGAGACGGAGAAGCAGCCATTCCATGTGCCTCCCCTCCTGTCTAACTGTTCCATCACAAACCAATATCTCCCAGACGCAAGCGCCCGTCATATTCAATGGCTGGTCCCAGACTGGTCTTCTATCCGGCTAACAGCTGACCCCCAAAGCGCAATGGTAATGTGCGGAGTAGTGGGGACGACAATATCCAAGCCAGTGCCGAACAGAGACCTGTGTCCCCGGCGTGCGCTAGTGGACGTCGTGCGACAGGCACAGGAATCGTGGAACCTGGAATTTCTCGTTGGATTCGAGGTGGAGTTCCAGGTGATGAAGGCCTCCTGCGCGACGGGGGAGTATGTCAAGCACAGTCAAGGCCCAGGGAATTTTTCTGTATCCGGCCTGCGGGATCCGTGCTACCGGTATGTGCAGCAGTGCATTCAACAACTATTGGTCCTAGGGGTGCACATCCATGGACTACATTCGGAAGGCAAACGAGGGCAGTATGAAATCGCTCTGAAACCCCTGCCGCCGTTGCAGGCTGTGGATCAACTACACTTTGTGCACGATTACCTCAAAGACACATTTGCCAAGCACGGCTATATGGCCACCATGGCACCGAAACCTCTAATCTCAGATCCACACACCATTGGGCAACACATGCACCTCTCGTTGGAGTCTGCCGATGGCGACCATGAAACGTCCTTCCTAGCCGGCATTCTCAAGCGCCTACCTATGATCTGCGCCTTTAGTCTACCCCACACGCTCTCTTACGAACGACGACTCCCGTTCTTGGCTGGGGAGACGGTATGCTGGGGAACTGAGGCGAGAATAGCACCTATCCGGAAGATCGAGGCTAGTCACTGGGAGATAAGATGCATCGACGCAACTGCCAACATGTACCTCACCCTAGCTGCTGTACTCGGCGCTGGCATACTCGGGTTGGCAGGCCAAGAGCCTCTCCTTTGGCCAGACTTGGGCGATTCTACAATTGAGTCCAATACCAGGGAAGAGCCGCTGCCCAGAACTCTGCAGGAATCTTTGGCGTGGTTGGCTACGAAGTCTGACGATTTCGCTACCATATTCGGCCTACCCTTGATACAACGTTACATAGAGCTGAAGCAGTATGAGATATCTCAAGCCGGAGGGATGGATCCTGTGAAGTTGAGAGAACTGTTTATTGAGCTATTCTAATTTTGCGTTGTAAGTGCGATTAGCCTGAAGCCGTGGAAAAAAGCGAGCTTGAATGAACGATCCAGTCAGCTACGTGCTGCTGTAAGCTGGTAAAGGCTACTCTCAGACATCAGGCCAGGGCTATCAACCAGTATTGTTTATGAAAAGTTGGGAAATTGTGTGAAGGGTCCAGAAGCCACTCAAACTTGGCTGCTCGAGCCGCCCATGGAATCGTATCTGCCAGTAAAAGCACACAAAGAGTACTCTGAACACTGGGGAAGTTTACTGAGGCGGTCTTACCCTGACTACTGAGGATCTGCTTAGAGCTGCTCGGATCTGCCTATAAAAAGCAAACAATGCTATTTGAGAATCTGATATGTGCATACTTTGTATATCACCATAAACCAAAAATACCCTTTCACCTTCCAGATGTTTATGTTGTCTTCATTTATTGACTATCTTTGTTTGTGTTAATCTTTGTCTTTATTGATACTTTCAGTGTGCTGTATTGGAAAGGGAGAGTATGTAGCTGTTTCTACCCAATTAAACCAAAAACCAAAAGAAGATCAAAATGTAGATCAAGTTCTGACCAGACGTGAACGAAACTTTCAACCGAAATGTTCCACGCTCATGCCAAACTCAAACAAGGAAATAGCCAAAACGTAGATCTGCAATTCGAAGTGAGACGCGAATATGTCACCCTCCAGTACTCACTGCACTGTGTCATGTAGCCGAAGTTTGGATATCAAGTTACTAAATTTAGCGAGTTGAGTCGGAAGGAACAGATTAAATACTAAGCATGATATTCGGTATATCGCACCCACTCAACAAGGTGCGGGGCCTTCCAATGAGCGCCAGCATTAGTCCTGAATGTGGGATTGGTTTGATTTTCTGAATGATAGATCTAAAGCATATTGTATGCATCGACCTAGGTAACGAAATAACGATTCCTCAGAAGTTGTACAATGGGCCATCCAGCCATAAGGGTAAGTTCGCGTTTTGACCAGGCATAGTACCAATACCGTAGTTGTCTAGTGCAGGAAACTGCGGCTGCAATGGTAGGTTGCCTGTAGCCTTGGCATTATCTGTATTCGTCGGTAAAGTAAATGGGTCTGGAAGGAAGTCTTGCTGTGGAGGTGGAACAAAGCCATTGAGGCCTTGAGGGGTATTGGGAGAGCCTTGGGGCATTGTTGTAGCAGTATGTGGATTCAACTGAGGCTCGAATGCAGGTAGTGGACGTTGAAGGCCAGCATAGCGCAACCCCGGCATGAGGATATCTGGTTCAAATGGAACGAACTGCGGGGGGTTAGGGAGTGCTGCTCTCGGAACTTGCATTCTTGGATAGCCTAGCTGCGGTAGAATATCTTGATTTTGGCCAGGCAAAGGCTCTTGTGTGTGCCGCCCCGGAGGCCAAGGTCCAGGTTGAGTGCGTCGGAGTTTTGGCTTTGTATGGGTTTTGGTATCCTTCCTATCAGGATCCACTCGAAGATCTCTCTCCATCAAGTCGGGATTATCCCTCAAGATCTTGTCAATGGCTGTCTTCTGGGCCTGCTCAACTTCAACCTCAAAGCGCTTCGGCTTACGATCATCGTGGGTATCACAGTAAGTGGGAGGCTTGCCAAAATGGTTGTACTGTTCACGTGAAATGTCCTTCTTGCATAGATAGCACATCACACACAAGCATTTGCTGCAGATCATTTTGTTACATCCCATATCTTTGATGATTTTAACATGGCATTTGGGACAGTTACGTATTAGGGCCTCGCTCATTGCCTCTTCAACTATGTGGCGTGCAGGAAGTCCCTTCTCTGCCCTTGCCTCATCGCAAGTCTTTGGTATGTGGCTTTTGTCTTTGCACAAACGGCAGCTAATCGTTTCACAAGAGGGATTGCAGCACCGAAATTCTCGGTCTTCTTCTATCGGGGGGCAGATTCCTTTGAAGTCACAGAACGGACAGCTTTCGAGTCCCTCTAAGCCGGCTTGCTCAACTTCGTCTTGCTGCTGAAGGTGGTCTAGCTTCCCCATCAATGAGGAGCCCAACGCGTTCTTCAAGTTCCCACGGGCAAACTTGGCATTACATTCACTCATGTCAAGGCACTGCAACTTGTATTTCATCATTCCGATCTGTGTCTCTGCGGTTTTTCGGATGCATCCGAAGCAGAAAAAGTGGACAGTTGCACCTTCACAAGGAATCGTTCTATTTGAGGGGGCATCAGAATAGCAGCACTGGCACTCCACAAGGTTGCCTGATCGTAAGTGTTCCTCTTCATTGAGTTTGTCCGCCTCCTCCTCTTCTTTTCGCTTTCGGTGAGCAGCTTCGAGTTTTGTTAAAAGATCTTACGTCTTGACGTGATAGCGATAACACTTACCAACATCCTTCGCAATCCTCCTTTTCGCAGCATTTAGTTCCGATATCAAGTCTTGGTCCCACGTCTTACTTGACTTCACGAGTGGCCTTGGTCGCTTCAATCTGAGGTGTGATGATTGGGTCCCAGGATGAATATACTCCTTATAAAGTGCTATGTAAGCCGAATACAGCCCTTTCTTGCTGGAAACGAATTGTCGGATATGTGGAATAGAGATCCACAGAAATTCCTGTGCCAGAATGTCGCATCTGTAACAACGGTTAGCAAGCACACGCACACGTAGAGCTAAGACCAACTCACGCTTGTTTACGATATTCACAAGCATCATGAAGTGCCCTGGGTACCGTCCAATGGTTATCATCCTCCTCTTCTTCGGTCTTCCTTTTAAGCTTCTCCTGCTTTGGATAAGATGCATTCTCCAGAATCTCCTCGATAATTGTCTCTTTGACCAGGAACAATCCGAAATTGATAAAAGGTGTATCACCGCCGCTGGCCGACATCGTATCCTTGTGTCGAGCTATTAACTCTTCTACATACTGGTGGCTAATGTCAGGAAATATCTCTAATATCTGGGGCAGCAATGCTGCATTAGCTGTCGGCGAGGGAGTAGGGTCATCCAAGACCGTCAGTGCGGGGTTTGTGATATGACGTGACGGTGTTGGAATATTATCAAGGCCTATGGGAAGAGACTCGTTAATCAAACCTGCAGTTTCGGCCGCACTGGGATAGTGGCTTCTCATTTTCTTTGCAGGCCTTGCAGCAGGCAGAGAAGGCTCATTCCACTGAAAGCCCAGATCATCGTCCTGCCCGTCGAGTCCCCAATGCATATGGTGGCTCTCACCCAGCAGTAGTCTCTCATCACCATAAGGAACTCTTAAGTCGTCAACATTCTGGTTCCACGGGTATCCAAATCCCATGGGATCCCCGTCCATGTTGGGCGTTTTGGAGCGGTTGAGGTGATTTTTACGATTGCGAGACTGCGCAGAGAATTTTTTTTAGAAAGGAACCGCATTATAAGGCCAGAGAAGAAAAATGATCAATAAGAGATAGGGAGCCCTGGTTGCAAGGAGGGATCGTTAATATGCGAAGAGACACCCGTCTCAGGGTATAACAGGGGATCATAGTGATGGAATCCCATTCAAGTACCAAGACCAAGTCATTATGACAAAAGCAAAGCACCACGGAAATAAGCGGTGTTTGCATAGTTTACAAAAGTAAGAGAAATGTAAAAGTGAATTCTGATGGCCCAGGCCCATATAAAACTTCTCCCGCGCGGCATGAAAGGAAGTGGAAAACATCGCAAGGAGCAGTACGAAACGAAACATACTTCACCTCAGGTATGAAGCATCCATACATTGAAATCCTCTTTCTTTTCCGTTCCTTGAGTTAGTTCTTTCTCTTGAGATAAGCTTTTTGAGGCCTTTTTCCTAGCACCGATCTGTATACTCGGCAACAATACCCGTGGGGCTCGAAGAAGATCGCCGAAGTGGGAAAGGTGTAAATAGGGGAAGCTTAAACGGAATGTCACGGTGGGGCTCTCGAGAGTGGGCTCGCGGTTTACCCCAGAATTATGGGTTCATCATGGATTCTGGAGGCGAGAAAGTGGTACTTAAGCTGATCGTCATTCATATATGCAAAAGGATAGGTTCACGGCAACAGGGTGAGATCTGAATATGTCACCCCATCAAACAACAGCTGGTAGTTTACGTAGCTTTCCATCAGATGGTGGTGGGATCTTACGTGAAGCTTGCTGGCAGTAAAACCATACCGCCTGCTTGTTTGGATGCGGGTTAACTACTCTCCACAGAGATGACTAATATTCGCTGTGTCCCGTGAACCAGAAGGCCATAATTTACCGCTAAAGAACCTGGCTACTGTAGTGGTGGGCTGTACAACTCGAGATATGGATCGATAAGATACCATCTAGCGTAAGGTATTGTAAGATTAAAAGAAGGCCAAAAAAGAACACCTCAGGTGCCTGTCGCATATGATACAGGCAATATAGCCGTTCAGAGGTTACAATTGGATCCCTTACGTTGTCTCCGCGCCTTCACTACGTCATGGTCTTCATCGTATAGCCTTTAGAGGCAGGTACATCCCCAGCTGAGTCAACTTTGTACCGCTTCGCATCGCTTGTCCTCGGCAGGACATGACAAACAGAAACAATCCCCCGACCAAAGGGGTCTGGGTCTCTACTATAACTACCCCCAGTCCTTTTAGTTCAATGATATAGGCATATATCTGTCCTCAAGAGCTACCCTCAGTTTGGCTCTCAACGGTTCCGTCCGAATACCACAACTAATACCTATCGCCATAATCTTATCAAATCCCCCACTATAATACCATATTCAGCTTTGTTTCACATTTAAAGCGCTTTTGGAGAGAAAGCGAACTAGTTACATTGTGTCCATTATGATTGCCGCTGACAACTCTTATCTTGACAACGCTGCCCTGCCATCAGGCGAATCCCCGGAGTTGATCTTAGTGCAGGCGACACCGGAGGAACGCACCGCAGCTATAAAGCTGAATAGTCCAGCTTGGAAGGGCCCCTTGGACCTCGATGCGTATATTGCACGAGAAAATCACTTAGCCCAGCAAGCATTGACCGAGGATGGCTTGACGAGTTGGTTGTTGGTCGTCCGAGGCCAACCAGAAGGGGAACGGGCAATCCTTAGCTCCTGCGAGACATACAAAAAGAAGGCAATTTTGGCACAAAATGGTAAAGTGGAACATGTATCCGCCCTCAGTATCGGCAGTGTTTTCTGTCGACCTGAGTTCAGAGGCAAGGGATATGCGAAAAGAATGATGCAGGAGTTGGTCAAGAAAATAGACGCGTGGCAAACGGAGCCCAAGACCACCAACAGAATACCTTTCAGTGTGTTATACTCTGATATCGGAAAGAAGTTCTATGCTCAATTTGGGTGGATGCCCCATCCCTCCACACACTTCAGCCTTACCCCACTACCAAAGGATGAATATGATCGGGCCATCGTTCGAGGAAACCTTCCAAAGGCGAGGACCTTGGTTGCAGAAGATGTGCACCGTTTCATGTGCAACAATGACGTGGTTCAAAAGGAGCTAGATATCCTTCGCATCGCATCTCAGAAATCTGCGAGTGCCAAAGTAGCGGTCGTCCCGGACTTTGACCATTTTAAGTGGCATTGGGCAAGGGAGGAATATTACGCAAAGATTCTCTTCAAGGACAGAACACTGCCACTTATCAAGGGTGCCGGTGATGAACAGTCCAAAGTATACTGTGCGTGGAATAGAAACTTCGGTGAGACTCCAGAGGAAAACACTCTGTACATCCTGAGGTGGGTGTACGACGAGCCAACTTCACCAGAGGAAACAGAGAAAACCGCAAAAGCCATGGCCGCAATCATAAGACGCGCCCAACTAGAAGCGCATGCGTGGGGTATGGCGAAGGTCCAGTTCTGGAATCCAACCCCAGTGCTAGAGAGGGCTGTTTCCATTCTAGACCCTACGGCGCAGGTCGTCCATCGGGAACAGGACAGCGTAGCCTGCTTGAGGTGGAGTGGCGCCGAGCAAGGCAAGGAAGTTGAGTGGCTCTGGAATGAGAAGTACGCCTGGTGCTGAAAGTCGGTCATATTTGCGGTTCTCGGCGAGTAATGCATGACATTGATAGAGGGGATGACTATCTAGAGTAAACCGGCTCAATCATAGAGGCGACGCTCGAGCCCTCGCGGACTTGGCTTAGCGTTTCTGGCGTTTTTGGTTCTTGAATAGCTCGTGCCAATTTCTTGTCTTTTTGGCTGCTGTCGCAGCACTAGCATCCGTCGAGACATTTTTCTTTATCTTCTGTCGGTCAGTTCGATAAACAAAGCAGATCGTCGTGGGATCTGGATGCTTGTATGAGTTTTCCTGCGTATAATGTCAGATACCGTAACATCTAGTAATGAGAGATGATCACTGTGGCGAGTATCCAAGCTAACAAGCGCTCCACTTACCGTCAATTTCGAGAAAGTAACATCGTTCCGCCAGGACTCGGGGAGGAGATCCTTCCAAGCATTCAGGAATTCACTTCTCCCGATGCCAGAAGCAGTGGTCGGCGCCATAGCCTCCAGGTAGGTCTCACCGACCCACTGCGTACAGCGTGCCTTATCGATACTGGCCCCTATATCCGAAACGTCAGTTCAAAATAACATCCAGCAACTTATCCCCTCCAGTAACGTTAATAAGAAACTCACACTTCAAATCCTCGAACAACTGCCCATCCCCAGCCTCACAAACCCTTCTAACGATACTTTCAAACAACGTCCTCGGAAAAGGCTCCTCCATCCCCTCATCAAGCACCGATCTCCACAAATCCTGCACCAAGAATTGCCTACCCAGGTCAATCCCCTGCAACACCGCCCCCTCAACCACCCGTCTCCACACATCCAACTTGGCCCTCGCCGACGGCCTCCGACACCAACCGGCAACATCATCCCCACTATCCCCGCGCCCAAGCACAAACGCACAAAGCTCAGTCCACCCCGCCTCACACTGCGCCCGCGACACAGGAACATCATCAAAGACCCTCCGAATCACGTCCCCCCGTTGCTCCACCTCCTGCTCTGCTCCCTCCACCTCATCATAAACAGGCAATATCCTCTCCAGAACAGGGACCGCCGAGAAACCATCCGGAGGTGTGTGCAGTTCAAGTGTAGACCCACATTTCGCGATAGCGGTCATCGTCTCGACGAGATTTAATTCGTCGTCATCGCCGCCGCCGACGATGTTAATGTCTCCTCTTTGGACACCGGAGTCGCTTGGCCGGATTATGTGGATCGAGTTTGAGGATTGGACTTGGCGAATGAGGTAGGTTTTCGTCGGCGTGCAGAGGTTCACATAATCGCGGTTTTCGGGGTCCGTGGTTGTCGTTGTGGGTTGTTGGGGGGTTGGAGACTTCAATTCGAGGCTGTATAACTTTCAGTCAGTTTCTTTGGGAGGGATTCAGGGATTGCGTAAGATTCGCGAGGGGGGTATCAGCGTGTAGCGTACGTTGGAGCTTCTTTTGATGTGAGCAGATCGGCCAGTTCTGGTGGTAGCTCTAGTAGTTTGAATCCCTGCTGAGGGGATGTGTGGGTGAAAAGAATGCTGGAAGCGGCTTGTATAGACATTGTGATGTCTTAATCTTGTTCGCCTTTGGAAGGCGCTCAAGCAGTGGCTTGGAAGGGATATATTGACGCTCAATGAGTATGCGATGTTGTTATACCTATCGAGGGAATAATTGAGGTGGACGGTACGTCTGGACGCGATTCAGACGCGTGCCGGCTACCGACGAGATGGACGCACAGACCACTGCTTAATGGATATATCAATCGACAACGTAAGATACATGAAACTTGGTGAAATTCAAGCTCTAAAGGACGCTTAAATATCTAGGCAAAACGGCTGAGAATAAATGGTAGCATGTTTTGGGAAGATTGAAAAAGCCACACTGTGAGAGAATCTGAAGTTAGGGATTAACAATGTGAAAACATTACGATACACTGGAAGACACCATCTAATAATCTGATTGTCATAGTGGCTATAAAATACGAATAGTGGGGCTTGTTTGGGTATTCTACATGGGTTGGAATACGAGAACACGATGAAAAAACAAACACAGGACATAGCTGATGCTGAAGTATATGATTAGAGAGTATCACGGCCAAGATTAAAAAGGAAAAAATGAGAATAGGAAGCCCCCGGCGAGGCTCGAACTCGCAACCTTAAGATCACTTGGGAAAGTAGACTGTTGAGTGTTGTTAGTTTTGGAGTCTGGAGGACGAATTGTTGGAATGCGCAACATACAGTCTTACGCGCTACCATTGCGCTACGGGGGCGGATGTTATTCTGGCGTTGGTCAAACAGCATATAGAGCACGCATTCCCCATACGCATGGTAGAAAATCAAAAAAAACAGGGGTAGCCCCCGGCGAGGCTCGAACTCGCAACCTTAAGATCACTTTGCAAGTAGACTGTTATTGCGTTAGTTATGGAGTGTTGAGGGTAATCATTAGTGTTCACATACAGTCTTACGCGCTACCATTGCGCTACGGGGGCGGTTGTTGTTGAAATTTTGATTCATATATCCTTTACAAAGCATGGCTGACTCGTTTACACGCAGAAAAGCAAAAAAGATGGGAGGATAGCCCCCGGCGAGGCTCGAACTCGCAACCTTAAGATCGCTTTTTGAAGCTAGACTGCAGATTTGTTAGTTGATCGGTCTTTAACGTCAAGATTGATTGCGCAACATACAGTCTTACGCGCTACCATTGCGCTACGGGGGCCGTTGATACCAAAAGCGACATTTCTGGCTTTTTAAGCCAAGTTTAATAAATACAGGTATGACAGGTAACGCTTACTCCCGAGTATGATGAAAAAGGACTATATCTACCCACAGGATATGAACAAAGAAGTCACTGAATCCTACAGCGACTCTATCTATATTCCGTTCTTTGACGGTCCTACCTCTGTATCTCTACTTTCTTTTACTAACAGTAGGTAGATTCATTTATTTACTTCAGGCTACAAAGTCGGCGGCTATATATCGCGGTATAACCATTCTCATGTGATACCTGTATCTCTCCAAGCTCTATCTTAAATTGTCCGTATCGAGCTTCGTCTTAGAGTACATCAATTACCATCGATACGTTTGTTTTGTCTACCATTCCTACGATTATCTATAGGCTTTTGTGCCATTCTCGCTTTATCGTATATATCTTACGGCCCATCTAGTCGTTAGTCAGACACTGCACAGGGACAAGATACGCTTATCCTGTGTCGCTCCAAGTTGTTTCTAATTTCCTACCCATTCGACGATCTATGCGTTTGGTTTCTTTATCCAGTTCGTCCTGTTTGGTCAACTCCGTAGTTGAGCATCCTAGATGCTACTTTTTTAGTAGACAAGGAAATGAGAGGTTTTCACTTGTCTTGATTATCCAAACTGCAAGTTATAACCCCCTTTTACAAACTACTACATGAGTTGCCCAATCAGGTGAGGAGCTTTATTATATTTCCTCCCTCCCCTAAAACCTCCTTTAAACAGTCATGTCTTCAGGCTCCCTTCGGTCCTGCTCGGCTAGGTAATACAGTTGTATGATTGGCAGCAATGGCCTGTTAAATGCTGTAGAAACACATAATAGATACAATGAGATCACCAGTCATGGCTAGCCTGTCCCAGCGGACGTTATGGAATCAGCTGCCGCCGAGGAAGAACTTCAGCTCTGAAAGGAATGGCTGTTGGTCTGGAATCGATAGAATGTAACCAGCAGGTTCTGCCTTTGTCGTTTCATGCTTAGGCCAAATTTGCTTGCAGTTGGAACGGAATTGATGGATCAGATATTCACAACTTCCACTCTCCCTGATAAATCAAAGAAGCGGTAATGCAAAGTTTAACCACGGATCATGGAAGAGTTGTATAGCTACCGCCCTCGAAGCCTTCGAGCCCTGCTGGAGACATTCCTTTTTTATAATGAAGATATCTCCTAGGGGTTTTGGCGATCTGTTCATCTGGTACACTGTTGGCCAAGACATCCACAAATGTATTCGCGCGGAATAGTGGGCTTGTGTTTGCGTTTCTTTCGTAATATCTAACCTCAGATCCGGTAGAGTCTGTGAATCTAACATAGAATGCTAGTCGACAGGCAGGATCGTCGTCTGTTGCGCTAGTTGCATAAACCTTAGGATGTCTCTGGCCAAATGGACAAATCTCCATTTTGACATATATTGTACCGTCTCCCACATCCATACCTGATGGGAATTTGATAGGGCAGTAGTTTAGCGAGATAGATCTCTCATAAGTCATACCAAGGGGCACAGTATACTGATATTCTTTAGTCTGAAAGACTTCTCTTTCTTCTCGCCAAATCTTTCGCGTGCAGCCAGTTTTCCCAGTAGTCTGACCCTTTCGTAAGCATCCCTTTCTAGAAGACTTAACGCCGAGGCTCTCAGCCAGACTTTTGAGGAGATCAATATTTGGATCAAGAAATCCATCTGTAATTGCTTGATCTATCAGAAGTGTTAAATCCTCGACCCGAGCTTCAAAACTGTGTGCAACCTCCAGGCAGCTCGTGGTTTCTAAATTGTTCCTTTTGCCAGTCTTAGGAAGGTAATTTGACCCTTCATCGGACCCTATTGTTTCCTTTCGGCGGTTGAATAACCAAGTCTGCATGCCGGTTACCTCCTTATCATCTACCTGGAAAAGAGTCTCAGTGGTCATTGTCTGATGAGCCTCAGCAGCGTCTTCAGCTATGTCTTCGGCGGTGCCTGTTTCTTTCTTTGGCAAAGTAGACAGGCATTCTAGGTATAATTCGTCGCGTTTTCCCACTCGATCACGGACCATTTCCTTGATTTTCTCGTAGCTTCCATTATCAAAGCCTTCATGAACACGAGTCCTTTCCCTCCCGATATCTGGCAATGGAGGTCTTATGGGGGTTTGCACAGCATTTTCTCTTCTGGGAAGTGCATGTAATAACATCAGAAGACCACGGACGAGAGAACCAGCAATAGTTTCAATTTCACGGATATCATCATCGTCTCCAATACCTTTACGAATTAGCCAAAGCTTGATACCTGCATCAAGGTCGTCTGTTGTCATAATATGTCCACCAAGCCGTTCCTTTCTAGCCTGGCTAAGGATATAGCCGACAATGCTGCTTGATTCGACGAAATACGGTCTGATATCTGTTATACCGAGTACCCTAGTTGCGAATCGAACCACATCACTCAGCCGGGCAGCATGAATCGGGTTAATAGACCATACCTCTGCTGGTAACTCAGGGCAGCGAATATAGAGCCGTCTATGGTCAAGATAAATTTGATACTTATACCCTTGGATATCAAGGGTATACTGACTCGAACCTTCTATCATTGCTTTGATGATTCTTCCCGCCCGTGGCCCACAAAGAAGAATTATTTTGGCAGCACACTGTTCAAGGAGAGTTTTATGAGAGTCCTCCCATAATCTTTCAGAATCTTCAGTAGCAGTGAAATCATCAGGCGTTAAACTGGAAAACCTCTTGAAATTATATGTCCACACAAGAACATTGCCCTCGTGAAACCCGCAGCCTTGAATGGGCCATGGGAGATCACCAGAGTTTTTGCTAATCACAGACTCCAATGGACTGTCATTAGCTACTGATACTGCCGCATAATCCAGAACAAAGCCAATTGCTGCTTGAAGACTACCTGAAAAAGGGATAGAATCACAAGCTTCTGGCTTAGCGGGATATCTTGGACTTCGAAGTAATTTAATCACATATTGGAAAAGTTCTTTATCTCTGAGTGCGATTTCTAGCGCTGCATCGAAGTCGCACTGGAAGATAGGGCGCGGTTTTCTCTGAACTTTCTTTTTAGAAGGGTTGAACGTAGCCCAATGTCTGATCTGGGCATCCGGTGATTGGCTTGGGCCCGCATTGGCTTTAACTCGTAGAGCTTTAGAAAGTGTGACATACCCCTGGACCAGTGGCGTCATTATATTCAGCCCATAGCTCTTGGTTGGTGAATCAGGACAATCAATTCTGTTCAGCATCCCATGATGAGTTTTAAAAGCCTTGCAGAAGACAGCTTCCAGTATATTCGAACGGATCTGATACCAAGAGTCGTCCAATGTATCTTCCGGGAATTCCCAAAGTTTGATAAAATGCGCGGTCCGATTGCCGTTGCCCATCCATAGGATGTAGTAGTGGAGACTGCTTGTTGAATTTCGTAGAATAGCCTGAGTATGCTGGCACATAATCCTTCTCCAAGCAAGGAAACACTGGCCACAGTACATTCGCCACCAGTCTATATGCCGAATATCTGTCACAAGACTAGCATATCCTACTGGCCGGTTCCAAGGTATCTTATCACCACGCTCGACTAGGGCTTTATATAGCACTTCCCTTGAGATCTTTAGGCCCTCGAGGGCCCTAACATTGGCAACAATGAGCTTTAGCAAGGATCGTGTAACCTCACAAACACCGCCGTGATCTTTAATACTTTCTTGATATTCTTTCGGTCCCGTTCCAGGTAGGAGACCGGCGATAATCTCTTCGATTGTCTCTTTGCAAAGGGACTCTAGATTTGGGAATTCGTATATCTCTGATAGGGAAAGCTCCTAGGTATTATGTCAGAGGATTTGTAAAACGCGAACATAAGTTACAAACCTCACGAATATCCTTAGGTATTGCGAACCACCGGCTTTCATCATGTTTGGGGGATACAACAGAGATGCTCAGATCTGTCGACTGTTCGCCTGAAGATGTCCTCATTCGTTTTGCCGATCGTAAAGAAGAGTATCTGAGTACTGCTTGCGGGCAGTACTGTTCTGGATGTCCTTTTACTTTGCAGATAGGACATGGAGGGGCACGCACACAGTTGCTAACTAGATGACCTTTCTTCTTACAATAGATGCAGATATTGCATTGGGGGCAGTCTTTCCGTGTAAAGCCACAAAGACCACATCTCTTGCAGCATTTTGTGTCTTGTGCTAGACGAAAGGACATGGTCGTACTACCTGCTTTGGACCAAAGAATGTAGAAAATCCGAGCAAGCACGAAAGATTTAAATTTATTGAACTGACTGTCTAGAACCTGTCAGTGGGAGCATGGAATCTTCATAAAGATGAGCTCATACGAAAGCTCTCAGAGCTTCACGGAGTGTACTGGAAGATAAAAGACCTGAGAAATAAAGGGATGGTGTCGTAGCAAAGCAGCTTGTATCGAAAACACTCACCAGAAAAAGATAACCGCAACATTGAAATAGTTGCTTTCAAATTAGTGAATTATCGGAGGAGGTGTTTCACGACCAATGGCAGAGTGAATACCTAAACTACTAGTAGTAGTAGTAGTATGTCTGCCTACTAGTACTACTAATATTAACATTTCGTGGTTCATGTCAGTTGACAGTTGCAGTGAACAGGGTCAGGAGAAATATTGAAAAGCCTGGGCTCCTTTCCAAAAATGAATTTCCCTAGGTCAGATGCCCATTTTTCGTTCAAGACCGTTTGAGAATAGAATAAATTACTTAGGCATGTAATTTACTGATAGTCGAGTCATACGTTTTGCCCATGAGGCAAGTCGTTCATACCAATACATCGTCAAGACAGCGAAAAATAAAACAAGTGCTTCCCAATATCAGACCTACAGATCAACCAAATATCAGATGAATAAATCAAGCCTCAAAACACTCCACAAGCCCATATACAAAAAGCTGCCAGTAATTGACGGCATATTCTAAAGAGAATGAGAAAGCCACACTGTGACCAGCACAGAGACTGGTGAGGCGCAATAGGCAGCGATGTTCTCCGTTTTTCACAGATTTTAAACCGATGCCTTTCGCTACCGAATACATGAAGAACTGTGATAATGAGCATCGCTACTCTCCCTGCTTTAATTGCTCATCATGCGCAGCACCGGCCTGTTCCTTAGCCGGTTTTACTGCAGACACCTCTTCGGCATCTTTCAAGTTTTTGTTCTTCGGAGTTTCTGGAGCTTTCTGTTCTTCCCGTTCTGGGGCTTTCGAGGATTTGTCTATTTTCGCTTCCTCAGCACTTTCAGCTTCCAGCTTCTTCGAATCGTCCGAGGCTTTCTGGTCTTTTCCTTCGGTTTCCATATCGTCGCGAACAAAAGCGTTATCGATTTCCGACTCTGCTTTAGTATCCCGGAACAGGGTATTGACACGCTCTGACCGCTCAGCTTGTTCCTTCTCTTCCTTTTCGCGAGCTTTGCGCTCTTGCTCCATTTCCTCCATGTGCCGAAGATCATCGACACTAGGTTCGTAAAGATGCCAGATAGTATAATGTGGGAGACCGACAACGGAAAATCCCATGCGTTTGGCCATCTGCTTATACTTAGCAAGAAAAATGATGAAGGGGGGTTGCATGCAGATCTTACCTTGCCGAATGCCTCAGTCTCAGCATGCTTTTCGAAGCTGAATGCTGGGAAATGAACTCCAGCACGGAACACCTTTGCCTTTGCAAGGATACTAACACCGCCAACGCCATCGAGCTCCATCTCCATATCAGGATCACCGTATGGGTCTCGAAGGTAGGCAAGGTGAGGCCGCCACGTCGCATACTCAGCATATCCTTCAACAATAACTGCATCCTCATCCAGTGTCTCTGCCAGGGCCAGTGCAGTTTCCGATTCCTGCCAGGAGTTCAAGTCATAGGGCTGTTCCCCGCCCAACCAGTCTGGGAGTGGCCGCCAGACATCTAATAGAAACTTTTATTAGATAAAACAACCAGAGGCCGTAGACTGCTTTACTCACTTGGTACGATGACATCCTTATCATGTCTCATTAGGTCTTCTATAATGGTGAATGGTGCCGTTTCTACATCGGCATCTCTCCAATAGACCCAGCTGTGAGTCGGTCGAAGCGTAGCACTTAACAGCCAATTTCTCGCCTGAGCCATCAACTTTCTCCGCCCAGCTTGTGCAGCGAACCCATGCCTACTCTCGACATCTTGTGTCACTTTCTGTCCGAAATCCTTATGGATGACTGAGATTTCACCAAACGGCATGTGCGGATCAGACTCGGCCTGAAGTTCCCCAAGCATGCTGGATAACATTTCTAGTGTATTATCCTTTGAATCCGAGACCAGAAAAGCTAAGTCGATTAAGTGGTGAGGGTAGGTGAGGTTTCGGAGATGCGAAAAGAACATCGGCAGGTGGGACGAGGCATCCCTAAGAGGTGTGCACATGAGCACACGCTCTTCTTTCTCCCATCCATCTGCGGTGCCCTGTACAGCTGAGAGGTCGTAATATCGTACAGTTTGTATTTGCAAGTCTTCCGCAGAAGAAAGAAGTCCAAGGGATACTACTGGCAGAATTGTGGCTCTCCAAGAAGGGAAGATGAGGACGAGGAGTAACAAAGAGAGGCCACCAATGAGGAACAGCCGTTGGATAAGTTGCCTTCGTCGTCGCAGAGCAGGTTGTGAACGCGGTTGGAAGCTGGCGATCGACGGAGCAGGGTCAGCAAGACATTGTTAATTGGTAGGAAACATTAAGCGATATTGTGTATCACCCATTCAGAAAGCTAATGAGTGGGATGCGATGGCGGCCGTTGCTTACCGGTGGGGAGAAATGGAGAATGTGCTGCCCTGCCCGCGAGGGTAGGCAGCGTAGCCGTTGGTGAAGGCGTGATGCCTGTTCATCTCTCCAAAGCCAGTCGCATCAGTAGCTTGAAAATCGGTCCCGAAGACAAAGGAACCCCTAGGTTCCTAGATCTAAAGGAAACCACTGGCTTGACTTCCTATTTCCCACCTAGGCCGATGCGACTGCGAGGCGGGATGCGTAAGATTAACTGCACTACGGAGCGACAAAGGATCACAGATCCCTGGAGGAATTTAAAAGAAATAATGAAACAAGATAGGGAAAATGGCGACAAAAGAAGGGAAGGGAGACGTCAAGGCTCGAAAAGGTCTATGTAGCATTAACTAACGGACGCCCGTCCAGAGCGTCGGAACCAAGCGTTTAGGTGGTTTCAGTGCAGTAGCGCCTGGGCGGTGATTCGCCTCCACGTCCACAGACCCTTGTCGAGTCCAACCTCTGCCCGTCATTACCGAATCCGGCGGTAGGCCAACTCGTGCCCGTTTGCAGACATGCAACCGTCTTCAACTCTTATCAGTACGACAATTAGGATCAAAGTTCCCTGGCACGCCGATCCATAATTGGCAGCCTCGTCGTTCTTTTATATCTATACCACCGATGGTCTATTTACAGAAAACCGATCAAATCCCGATGCTCCCGATAACACTTGATAAGAAACGCATGAAAAAGAGCCCAACGCCAGAGAATGCTAACCATCGCTATCCAAGCCAACAGAAATCACATATAGTAACGCGCCCATCTTCAATTGATCCGTGATATCCTGGACTGGGGAGACCCCATACCCTTGACACCGATCTCAATTTGTCCCATCAGCTTCTTAAGCAATGCCTCCATTTTAGGCGGGTCTCGAAGCACCGGAATGACGGATCCGGCCTGGTAGTCGTTGTCCAAGATATAATATCGTTCCCTTCCCCATTGCTCCACAGTATCTCTCTGGAATGCGACTTTCGCGATTACCTTGGCTGGAACACTAGGGTTATTAATGGCACTTTTAGAGAACACCCGCAGGAATGGCCGGAGTCCAGACCGCGTCTGGTGTGCCATTCGAACCGACCGAGGTGCGTTCTCCGTTAAATGGCTCTCTCCTGTCAATCCACCGGGATCCAGGGTAAATATGTTCAAGGGAATTTTGCCATTCTAAGAATTTAACCCTGGTTAACTGGGACGCTCAAGGCAATGGCGAGATGTTGCAGGTCAACTTACGAGTACCAGACTCCGACGCAAGGCGTACATGGCCGCGCTCATGATTAATTTGCTACTTCCAAAGCGCGCATTCCCTTCCTTCGAGGACAATTGCGTCCCCGGTTGTTGATTTCCAAAATCATGTTTGTCGAAATAATCCAAAGAGCCTTTCAACATGGATGAGCAACCAACATTGATCACCCTCACTCCGCCATTTGGTGTTCCATCACCTGCTCGGAACGCCTCCAGCAACCCGATGGTCAAGAGGAACGGGGCAATACAGTTGGTCTGGTAGACGGGATCGAACCCATCTCGTGTTACTTGGTCGGCGATGTAGGACGCAACAGCAGCGCAGTTAATCAGCAGTGTCACTGGAGGGATCTCTTTGTTTTGCACCCTTTCCACTGTGTTCTCTGTAAAACTGACGACGGAGTTGAAACTTGTCAAGTCCACTCTTGCTACTTCAATCGACCGGGGTCCGATCAACCGGATCTTGTCTCTCAGTTCTTTGACGCTATCGGAGCGGATATCCCGTGCCAGTAGTAGCAGATGCACAAAAGGCTGTGCTTTGGCAATGGCGATGGCTATTGAAGATCCAAGCGACCCATTTCCCCCAGTGATAATCGCTGTACCAGAAAGCGGAGTCGCCATGAGAGGATATTTCTTATTCCTGAATTTGTAAAATGGTTATTGTCCAAGAAAAAAAAGAATCAAAAATAAAAATAAAAGCAGCGAGCGGCGAAGTAAATATGTCAGCAGCGCATGCTTTGTAAATAATCTGAAACCCAGGTACGACCCACACACCCGACCGACAGCTGAAAGAGCAATCTGAACAAGAAAAGGAGAATGAGAATTTTGAGAAAAAAAGACGGAATATATTGAAGATGCTTGACAAATTATACTAAAACTTGATTAGATCAAAAAAAACATTGCGTCCCAACAAGGTACTAGCCCCGAGGCCTGAAGCTCGCGTCAGCGAGAGTACAGCTTAGGGGCGAAGAAAAAGAGAGAAGAAAAAAAAAAAAAAAGAAAAGAAAAGAAAAGAAAAAAGACTAATTCCAAGATCAGAGATTGATACGATGGAGTATTCCAAGAGTCAAAGCGATCTGACCCGTCATTCAGGCCCTTCGAGGTAGTAGAGAAAGCCAACCGCGATGAAACTTCAAGTGGGGAGCGTTCGGAGGTCCACTTGGGAGCAGTAAAAAAAGAACCAGAGAAAAAGCAAAAAGTGGGTAAGTGAAAAGGCAACGAGAAAGAGAGTCCGCAAAGCCAGGAGACAATAAGCGGTTGGGCGATATTCCTTGTTGGCGATTTTCGAGGCTGGACTGTTGACAAGTAAATCTTCGTACTGTATCCCAAAGACTTGGAAGACGATACAGGTAAAGTAAGACGGGATCTAGATCGACTCATGCGGCTGATGGACCATTCAAATCTCTGGGAGACAGCGGATGAAAGTTTGTTCTCGACGGTGGTGGAGGCAAAAATGTCACTACGTAGTGACGGTGTACCTCAACGACGTGGTAAACCGTACGCCGTAAGACTTCTGTTGCACTGGTGTCTTGGTTTTAATTCCATTGACTCCCGTCTACGAGTCAGTCTTTCGTACGAGATGTCGCCATACACTCATTCCATTGAGTAACGTCACATCTCTCCTTTCCCTCCCCCTTTAATGCACTGCCCCCGTCTCCCCCTTTAGTGAATTTTGTTACTACTCCGTAAAAACTATCTCAGAGGTCCCACGAGGTCCCATCAACTACCGACCGAGTAGAGAGTATACAACACATCAACTCGGATCTATCTATAGAATCCCGCAAGTGGCGTTCCGTTACTACCGACGAACGAATGAACGCCTGTTCATCCTGCAGCCACAACAACCGCTCCTTAACCCTTACTTAGTCCCAATCGTGTCTCATCCCGGCACCCAACCGTAGCATTCACGACCAAGCTAGAAGAAAGATTCCCCCCTAAGCTGCGTAGCGTCCCTACTAGCGATCTCCCCTACCCTTTTCAAGTAGTCTTTTGGCCAACAATATACCCGGCTGGCGCTGTCTCCCTCCCCCATTGGACAGATCCATCTTAACCCTGAGGTTATTTCGACCTGAGGAACTTCACGCGATGGCTTAGTACGGGGGCTAGAATTCTTCCCAAAAGTACTGTCAGACGACGATACCTTCACTAAACTCGTTCGGTGCGTGTTACTTGGCTAATGTGGCTGAGTTATTGGAAATAATACAAAAAGTGGTGTCATTTATGCAGTAAGAGAGGGGACATTCTGGTTCTGGGGCCGTGGGCTAGACTTGAGGCCTTGCTGTCGTGCTTGTCGTATTCATTGGTGTGGTTTTGAACTCGTGTGTCATGCATGGTCTTCGTATCGCAACACGTGTTTGCTTATACTGCGTTGTTGGGATATTATATGATCACCGCTAGTATCCTGTTGTGGGTTCCCTTTGCTGACATTGTGCTTGTGAATCGTAGTACTACGGGTAGGAGCTAGTAGGGCTGACTTGTTTCTTTTCTTTTCCCTCTTTTCTTCCGGTTTCTGCAGGTCTGGATTCATGAGGTGGGCTGAGTGGGGAGCTGAAGAACGTGCAAGGGTGTACCATGCTCCGTCCAGGATACTGAACCCCAGTCGGTACATTGCTTGCGTCGGAGAAATTGCGATTTCAGCTTGTAATGGTCTGGATTCGAATTGTAGCTTGACTTGCGCCATACTATCTGGAAATTCTGGATATCTACAATGTGGGAAACCTTTCCTCCGCTGGCATGACCCCGGATAGATCATGCGGATACGTCGATTAAAATCTTGACATGCTTATCCCGCTCGTTAATCAATGCCTCGAACCCCTGTTCTACAATCTCCTCCATACGGATCTTACTCGTGATCATAGACTGGGGCTTAAGTTTCCCTGTCCTGCAATGTCAGCAAGCTAAACAAGAACGTGGAAAGCAAACACCCGGCATAGCGCCCACGTACCCGACGCGATGGCATCAATAACAGCCTCAAAATCGTCACCGTCAAAAATCGCCGACCCGACGATGTGCTTCTCGGACCCGACCAGCTCCCACGCATCAATCACCGGCTTCTGCTCCCACAGCGACACAACCGTCACCGTGCCCCGGGCTCGGACCCCCTTCAGTGCAGTGTCGAATCCGGCCTGCACGCCGGAGCATTCGAAGGCGATGTCCGCCCCCGCGTCGCACGACAGCGAACGCACTCGCGCCTCAATGTCTTCTGTCCGCGGGTCCAGCACGTCCGTGGCACCCAGGGTCTCGGCGAATCGCCGTCGCCGCTCTGACACCTCGGCTACTACGATAGATTCGACGCCGTGGGCCTGAAGCACTTGCACAATGGCGAGTCCGATGGGGCCTCCCCCGACGACGAGCGCAGTGCGAGCTGTTGCCACGGGGCTGCGCGTCACGGCGTGCCAGGCTACGGTGAGAGGCTCGACGAGGGCTACATACATCCTTAACTTAACACCCAATCGATCACATGAGATATCTATACTCACCTCCGATATCAAGCGGGATCTCATTCGGTAACAGCCTTGCCCGTTCCTCCTGCACAACGACATGGTCCGATAGACCCCCGGAATTACCTATTACTCATTCGTCAGTGAGGAATCAACGGTGACATCGAGCAACAGCGTAGCACAAAGGAAAAGAAGGAAAAAAAAAATAACTACCACAAACTCACTGCTATACCCAATAAACCCCAAATTCCGACAGCAGTTCACCCTCCCTTGCACACAGCGCGCACAAGTCCCGTCATACAGGTTCGGCTTAACGGCCACGCGATCCCCGACTTTCACCCGCGTAACGCCAGGCCCAACTTCCTCAATTATGCCGCTGAACTCGTGGCCTAGTGTTACGGGGAGTGTTGCGTTGGTGATTGGGTGTGGGGTTTGAGGGACGGTTGAGGGGCCAGCGAGGTATTCGTGGAGATCTGGGGTAAATTAGATAGGTGCTTCTCTTTCCCCCCCAGATATGATGAAATCGCTAGGAGTATATGTCAGGGGGATGTGGTACGTACCGCTTCCGCAGATTCCAACGAACGCAGGTCGGATCTGGTCTTCTGTTAGTTCGTGGGAGTGATGCTGGATATGAATTGATCATGTTGGTATGTGATGGTCACCTTCACTTGGTCATTTTGACAGACGGGTTCTTCGATCTGGTCAATGCGGATGTCACCGCGTCCGTGGAAGCGAACTGCTCGCATTATGGGCTATGCGATTCGATGTGGAGGATGGCTGATGAATAAGGGTATCTGGTTCTCGCGGTGCGGTCAGATACGTTACATTTATAACGTTCATGGATTATCCAAAGGAATTGGGGGTTGGGGATCCATGGATAATATGGGGTATTTCCGGATCTAGAGGCGCTTCTCCGCTATTGAGATGTGGAGGAGTCTGCGGGGCAGAAGTGGGATTGATCACCAAGATGCGATCACTTGGGAGATACGGTGTACCAGTAGTAGCACCTTAGTAGTGTATGTACATGCGCGGAAAAGTAAGTTACAATGGAACATTTGAAGACTGAAGTCACGTTCAATATTGTTGTTTTTTACTGCCATAATATGCATGCAAGTAATTTTATATCCATACCATTCATAAATAATCGACGGACTTTCTGATCTAGAACAGTGCTCGGTATTGTTTCTCTCTTTCTTTTTGATCTTGATATATGTAGTGACAATTCTCCTTTACCGAACGGTAGCTCCCTTCAGGCTCTTGACAGTGCAAACACCTCCCTGGGTAACCAGTTTGCCCAGGGCAGGCTTGCCTTCCTGGCCCTGCACAGCAGGAACAGCGCTAGCCTCGAAGGCAACCTCGAGGTCATCGGTAGTTGTGAATCCGGGCTGGTAGGTCTCCCAGACCTTCTTCTTGGGGTTGAGCACCTTCTCGGGCTCGGCGTCGTTCCAGCCCTCAAAGTACACCCGGGATCCGGCGGGGGCATCGGCAGGAGGAGAAACGAGCTCAACGGGACCACCGTGGGAGTCCTCGCCTTCCGCGACACGGGGGGAGGCTGCGAGAACCATGGCTGCGGACTTGATTCCACGCATGGTGACAGGCTTAAGGTTGCAGACGGCGACGATCTTACGGCCTTGCATTTCCTCCAGAGGAATAAGTCCGTTCAGGCCCGAGCACACGGTACGGACAGTCTTGCCAGTAGCCTCATCCAAAGAAGTGTTATCAGAGCCGGGGGCATCACCGCAGTCAATGGTCGAAACGTAGAGGGAGTCGGCATTGGGGTGGTTGATGGCGCGAAGAATGTGGCCGACACGGAGGTCGATGGCGCATGGAGACGGGGGGGCAGCGGGAGCGGGAGCAGGCTTAGCCTTGGGCTGCTTCTCCTTCTTTTCCTTCTTCTCCTTCTTGGGCTTGCCCTCAGCTGCGGGGGCTGCTTCCTGCTTAGCAGCTTCGGGCTTACCCTTTCCAACGACGAGGGGCTTGCCCTCGGCCGGAGCGCCGGCGTTCTGGGCAGCAGCCTTCTCCTTCTTCTTGCGCTCCTTCTCTTCCTTAGGGTCCACAGGCTTGGGCACGAAGCGCACATCATTCACATCGATGGCAATCTTCTCCTCCTCAGGAATCCGGAGTGCGAACAACCGGCTGTTCTGTACGAAATCAATGTGACGCACAATGTGATGGTAGCCCTGCTCGCCGGTACGCTCCTCCGGGCTCCATTTCTCCACTAGAGGGGCCAGAAGAGCGTAGGCCGCGATATCAGCAACGGAAGGCTTTGTGCCGAGAATGGTGGTCCGCGTGGCCAAGTGACCATTCAGCTGTTCGAGGATGGTTGTGACGACGGGCTTCTCATCCTTGGTAAGAGCATTCTGGAGACCAGAGATTGTTCCCAGCCATTGCTTAATGTCGGCCTCTTCTGGGGCGGAGAGGGTGGTCTGTGGGAAAATCTTGGGCGAGACGGTCAAAAGATCGGTCTCTGTGGCATCGGGAGAGACAGCGGTGGGGTAAGAGCGGTAGATGAGGGAAAGGAGGGAGGACTCAGGAGCGGAGTTGATGGCCATTTTTGCGAATGGGCGGACGCGAGACAAGGGAAAAGATGAGATGGTGGGCGGACGAAGAGGGGCAACAGAAATGATTCCCAAATGCAGTCCCAAAGGTCGAACCAACCGCGGGGTTCTTCTTGCGGCCCGCAGAAGGGTCACGCCAGGCTTAGAGGAAGACAACTTGACTTATTTCCACCAAGATCCCTAACAATGGGGATCTTTTCAATACGTAAAGGATATTCTTTAAATGATGTTCATGAATCTAATCTAGTTGGACAGAATACAGCACGCGATGTCCTTCTTGAATTGTACTTGCGAGCTGTTCAAGGGCGTGTTTTTTCTTTTCATTTTTTCTGCTGCTTCTAGAGCTCCTAACCAAATTCGGTTAGGAGATCAATCAATGACTCAGCATTCCGAAACAGCGTTTGTTTAAGCATACTATTTAAAGTAATCTTCGGATGACAATGATAGTATACGCACTCGGTACTTGGTGAAGATCCTCTTAAACCTTGTCAACTTTAATCTATTTTTTGGTGACGATATGCTCCTGCTAATGGGCAATAGAGATCATTCGCAATTCACTTCCTTTGGTCCACAATCTGATCTTATCTCGGGTCTAACCCACTGATGAAGAAAGAGGAGATGTGTATACAGAAATGTTATATTCTATACTCTATCTTCCAGTAGTTGTCGATCAATGTGACCAAAAGCGAACGTATCCGAACTATTTGGGAGTTGCAACTCCCAGAGAGGGTCCCCGCATGTCGAAGACCACAAAGAAGGCCTTCAGGAACACATCGCCGAGGATTTGCATCGAGGACCCTTGGTTAGATTGAACACCTCCGAAGCAAACTAAGACTTGTGAGCAATAATTCAACAGAATCTGGAAGATGAGAACTCACCCTTTCCGCCGGTCGTCTTGTTAATGCCAACCTCGGAGAAATTGATCAGGTTGCCTGGAACGGTCGCCAGATGCTTAGATCCTATCCCAACTGAAATACTCGGAAGCGAGGCATTACAGGGATAAATGTAACCGCTGGCACTGCTGGCATAAATTGCACCTTCAATCTTTGCATAGTAGGCGTCCACCACTTCCTGGCTGAGCAGCATGAGCGAGGTTCCGGTGTCCGCAATAGCAGTAGGGCTTTCTTTGATGTTTTGTATATCTCCATCCGCAATAGCAAACTTCGCCGATTCAAACTGCCAAAATCCTTTGGAGGAGTCCACGCTCACGTTTGCGATGTCGCCCTGGTACTTGTCGTGATCGAGTATGCCAAATTCGTACTCGCCAACGCCGTTGGCTTTGAGGGACGCTGTCAGAACAGGCTCCTGCAGACTATCGGCGATGTTATCGAAAAAGGTTTTCTGCTGCGTAGGCTTAACGGTGTTGAGGGATGAGAATCCCAGTCCCACTAAACCGTTTGAAGTGGCGTCTTCAATGAAAGCGCTGGATACCGTATCCGGAATGCCAATGGCTTGGTCTTTGACAATGGCCCCCCCAACATTGACAGTATCCGTACCCACACCACCGTACGCATACGAGGCATCGCCGTAAGAGATGTTGAAAGTAGCTCCCTCCATTTTCTTGAATGTAGAAGAGTTAGAAGGATTATACACTGTACGACCCGTTTGAGCTTCTTTGGGGAGCTCTGTATTCATCACCCAACTGTAGTTCAACTGTCAACGGCTAGGATCAAGAGATTCTTTGGGGAAATGCACTTACAAGTCGGCAGAGCCAGTGTCAAAGTTTAGGACAAGCTTTTGACCACCGATGGTGACGGGAGAGACAAATGCAGCATCCTTCAGGACTGAGGCGGCACTGACAGCACCTTTTTGGTCCGGCTCGGTGACATCTTTCTTCGCTACAACAGCATTCTTTACCGCTATGGGTTCAAAATCATCCAGATCAATCCCAAGGTCCGCTGGGACAATACCGAATTTCTCATATGCTCTGCGCAAAGCTGTTGGGCCATGGACAGGCTCATTTCCACGCCGTACCCGCTCTACCTTAAAGGACCTGCCCTTAAGTTGAGACTTTGAGCCCGATGGAAGTGAAAGCACGCCGCAGGCGAGAAACAAGGTAATCAGAAAAGACAGAAGAAATCTCATGGTGGCGATCCTGTGCTTGCTTCTGAGGTTGTAATGAGTGATATCAAGCCTCTGCTAAAGGGGCTAGAAAAATGATGTTTCTTTACAAAGAAAGCGTATATGAATGAAACGAAGGGTATATACCAGGGCCAAGTACCTGACTTGGACGCCTGTATATCAGAAAACAAAGCTCTGAGAAGAAAGGCCAGTCTTGCAAGCAAGGCGCTGGGTACTGAATTAGAATAGTTTAGTTGAATATCTAAGAAAGAGAGCAATTAAAAGAACTGTACAAAAATGGGAAGAAGAGGAAGGTGAAAGAGAAAAAATGACAGCAAAAGCATGGACTTCAGAAGCAGCCAGATGGAGCCATTTCTGAGATATACTACGGAGTACTTTGTGTGTAATCGTCCAAGACTTCTGAGACGCTTATATGGTCCACTCGTAGGGGGCCAATAGACCATCCATCGTTCTACTGGAAGGCTTGGAAGCATCCTATTCTGGATCCACTCGAAGGCGAGTCCAAGAATTGAATGGCGTGAAAGGAGCCAATCCACAGCGACGTGACGTGAGCTGTAGGGAGGGGACAGTCTTGGTACCTCGCCCATTAGTCAATATGGCTGACACAGTCGTTTGACGGGTCAGTGTTTGGATTGGCATGGCAAACCTTAGGCATTGCGGCTGTGGATATCACAGCCGCGGAAGCCACTCAAGGCTTGGGAAGCTAAAGCACGGAGGTCAGATTTTTGAAACACCCGAACTGCTAACCCACCAGTGGCAAACTTAACGGCCAATCAGCTTCTCCAAGTATTGTTTCAGCTTGTCCACCTGAAGCAACCAACGGTCTAGCCATTCACGGCGGTGCCGGCAATCGAGTCAGTCTTATACTGGTACACTTGTCCCATAACCTTGGAAGACGCGGTGCGGACAGGGATGATTTTTCCCCAGAAAGAATCATGGAAACGTACGATTGGCTTTTGTTAATGCTGGGGAACAGTCGCTTAAAGTTCCACAGACATGATTGGCTTTTCACAAAATCTGATAGGTACAACCTAGCGCTTTTGGACACGGAGAGATCTCGACTGGCCGAGACCCAAGACTGATCCGGAGCCCTACTTATCTGCCTACGTACCGCATGGATTGCGTCAACATTGTGGATAAAATCTGCAGCCATGAATAGCGGACAAGTCCTTTTTGAAGACCTGTCCAATCAACGGTCGCTAGGGTTTAGACACCAAAGACGAATTGATTCCTTTTTCTTACTCACTAAGAAGCTTGGGAGATGTTCATGAAGTGAGATTTCACTTTCTAACCAGGGCCAAGAACTATCTATAGTTTGGGTAACGTCGATCAACAGGGTACCCAATTTATACATAACCATTTTGCCAGTATAGTCATGCTTGGCAGTGCCGATTCTCTCCTCATGAGGCAGGTGGCGGCCCTGAGAGATTCTTAGTGGAGCGTCATGGTGTGGATTAGGAACGGGACCGGCTTGTCCCTAGATTTCAGCACTGCACATTTCTAAGACTTGGCTCTTGACATTGTACACATACTCTACGGCACGATACGAGCTGGGTCGCCGTCACTAGTCTGGAAGCTGATGCTCACCAAGCAAAAACACACTTAGTAGTTAACTACTCATCATGTTAATTAGATAACCTCGAATGATTTGCAGTGGTATCAATCGTTTGTATGCCAAAAAAACGCCCAAATCTCGAAGAGTTTTAACCCCCAATGCAACCACGCTTGAAAACAAAGATGACCCGAAAGGAGAAAATGCAATCATCACTCTACTGTATCATCCGGTAGCACAGTATCAGGGTCTTCTCCAACCAACTGTCCAACCGCGCGCACCACCTGCTTGATCGCCTTCGCCGCCGGGCTATCAGGGAACCCATCTACAAAGCTTTCACCGTAATCACAAGCCATTCCGATTCTGGGATCGAGAGGGACCGCCCCTAGGAACGGGATGCCCATCTTTTTCGCTAACCGCTTACCACCGCCCGTTGTGGCCCGGAAAATCTGACTTTCAGTGTTGCAGTTCTTGCAGACAAAGCCACTCATGTTCTCGACTAACCCCAAAACTCGAATACCGGCTTTGCGGCAGAAGTCGATCTCTTTCCTAACATCTAATAGGGATACCTCCTGCGGTGTAGTGATAACGACAGCACCGTCAACTCCAGAGTCCTTCAGGAGAGTGTTGACGGACAGATGCTCATCCGAGGTACCCGGTGGTGTGTCAATAATGAGATAGTCCAGCTCACCCCAGTCCACATCCTTCAGGAACTGTTTTATCAGGCCATTCTTCTTTGGTCCTCTCCAGATCACTGCATCGTCCCGATTGGGCAGCATGAACTGCACGCTCATTGCGCCTAGGTTGTCTGTTACCCACACCGGACTCCAGCCTGCGTTGCTCACGTGGATTGTCTCCGATTCCACCCCCATTAGCTTTGGAATCGAAGGTCCAGTGATATCGGTGTCCATCAAGCCAACCATCGAGTCGGGGTTCGCGGAAAATGCATGGGCGAGGAGAGAGGAAAAGGTCGATTTGCCAACCCCACCTTTCCCCGAGAGCACAAGGATCTTGTGCCGGACCTGGGAGAGCCTCTCTTGGATGATGGGAATATCGGGATCGGGACCTTTCGGGGCAGAGGCACAAATCTGTTGATTGGGACACCCAGCGCAGGCATCACCTTGACCTGCCTGCTCCGACTCAGGGCCAGGGCAGTGCTCTGGAACTGATTAGTAAAACAGAAACATTACCTCCGCTCGAAGTACAAACATACCTGGCTCTGGAGCAACCAGACTCGGCGACATAATGTAATATTCTCGCCCAACTATTACTCTAATATGAAAAAAAGGATATGAAGAACTTGTGCAGACGCAACATTTGATGGAAACTTAGATAAAGGTGGCGGAAGAAATGCTTGATAATCGGGTTTGATTAGATAAGGTTGCTACTAGCTTACAAACGCTCCAGTAGCGATTGGTCTCTATGTGCGGTGTCGGAGTCTTTAATAATAGCGATATCATAAACCCTCAATGAATCCCGTTCGATGAGATATAAGTAACTAAAATACCTGAGCATTGATTTCTTCATTGACGATGCAACGCTTAAACTTCGGAAAGAGCGGGTGACATAAATTCCGAAATGTGACATGATACATCCGACCGACCCTACGCGAGTGGATGAGGGGTAGAGAGGGGCAGAACCCCAAGTCTGCGAGAAACTGAATAGTATGTTTCTGGCAAAAAAGGAAAACCAAACAAGGAGGGTGGGGGCCTACTGCATCAGATATTCTGATATTCAATTAAGTATACTCACGCTATAACTCAATAATTCCAATTATATTTCTAGTCAATCTTTGATTGTACGGCGGAGTAAGTCTTTAAGTTACAGTAATACCTAGCGGTATGTAGCACAATGTCTGAAGTACTTTCTTGCGAAAGATACCTCCTTTGTCAGATCTGACATTCATGGATAAATGTCAGGTATCCACTACAGGAACTACCTTCAATATCCTATTGACCAGCCAACAGGGGCAATAGGGGATATATCCTGTGGGGAAGACACCGTGGTGCTAGGACTTACCAACTGCATGCGGAGGAAATCTTTAGTCTAACTCGAATTCCGTTTGTTTTGATGACAGTCTCTTCGGACTAGATTGATTCCCTCAGAACGCGGGCTTCCGCTAAGGTGATATGCAATGGGACTGCCGACGTCCGATAGTATGTGAAAGAAATAGCCAGTGGATTCGAATACGGTATATCGGAGAGGGGTGGAATGCAATGTCAGAACCTAAAAGAGCCCAGTGACCTCCATGATATCATCCGCCAGGCTATCCCGGTAGCCCAATAAACAATGCACTAGATCCCGACGGTTGATCTTGAAGGATGTGAGGCAGAGTATCGCTCACTGTCAGGAACCTAATCCCTCCGTCCTCCCAACGCATTGCCATCCATACTTGAAGTGCAGAATGCATGCATATGTAGGTGCATGATAATTCTCATGCACACAGACACACCTCGACATATATCCGGATGCACATATAGATATATTTAATATAAATTAATAAAGAAAAAGCAAGTTTTGGAGACATTGGTACGCAAAGCCTCTTTGTCTTGTTCCTGTTCCATCCCTCCAGACAGCACCTGCCCCGTCCGTGCTTGCATAAGGAGATGCATACGCATATGCAGCTATCCATGTCCTGGATTATAATACGCCAGCATCTCGTGGGTAATATTTCCATTAATGCAAAAAGAGTTGTACCCAGTGAGCAACACTACAGGATAGGCTGTATCCGCAGTTACCGCACCAGGCCATAATCCAGTAGATCCGTCTCCTACCACGTACATGGATTGATGCTGTGTGGAACAGATTGGGTGAGGATCTGCCGTGGAAGAGAACGTGATGCTTCAGCATACATTGCACCTACAATGTCTAGATAACCATGCGACCAGTTACCAATTTACTAAATTAATGCCAAGCTTCACAGGCATCTTGTTGAGCATTTAGAGGGTGGTCTAGAAAAAAGTAAACAGGAACATATCTAACGGGAAAAGGGAAAGAGTGTCAGGGTTCACGGGATCCCAATGGTGTACGGTAAGCGACGGTCATTCTTCCTCATTCCGGGCCATTCTGCCCTTGCCAACTGGAACCCGCACCGCCGTCATGATTGGCCTTGCTCGGCCACTAACCACTACTGTTGCTTTCCCCAGTCCACGAGTTCCACTTCTGCCAGTGTGCAATGGATCGAGGCGCTGCTCCATGGTGCTGTCTTGCGCACTCTTGTCTCAACGTTTCGCTAAGGGAATAAATTGGAACGATTTGCCAAATCCCTCACAAGAAAAAAAAAAAAAAACATTTCTTCTCTCCAAATATTCCCATACGACCCAATTCTTCACCTTTTGCTCACACCCTGTTTTATGTGTTCTAACTACAGCTACAATTGACCTTACCTAACTGTTACTACATAGGAAAAACACGGTGGAGCTGCGCCTCACATGACGCAGACCAATCATAGACATAAATAAACCCGCCCTGTTCCCTCTCACATGCTTTTGCCCCTACACTGGAACACTCGCCGCTCTTTCAACATTTTGCTCTGCTGAGTCTCAATCATGGATCGTGGACTTTCAACAAGCACCCGAACCGATGATGAAGGCCTTCGGGAGAGGAATGTGGCCCCTCAGTCCACCCCGACTCTTAGTCCTGAGGCCCTTACGGCCACCGGTGACGTAGAGCTCAAGGACAAGGCTGGTAAGGACTGCAAGACATTTGGTCGGACACCTGATGGTACCGGTACGTGATTTTCTCAAGATTCAATCCCTACTATAGGCATTGGCTATATATCCTTATTGGATATGCGCGATTGTTGCCGTGTCATCGCGGACAGATAGGCTAACTCGTGCCCCTCAACAGTATTCACGGTGCCGCAGACTCATGACATGGTCTCTCAACTCCTGTCGCCCTCGGAACCAAAAAATCTTTCTGACGTGATTGTTCTCGCAATCCTTGGTGCTCATATACTTCTTCTATGGCAGCTTCCTACCGGTGCTAAGGTGCCTGTTTTTGCCATCATCTACCTTTTCTGGCGTTCGGCCTATAACGCTGGAATTGGATGGCTTCTTCACAATCAATCTCACCACAAAACACTGGTCCGCTGGGCTGAGAAAACCAGGGTCTTTGTGAATCCCGCTACGGGCAAGAACCCACATCCTAACCTATACAACTTTTTTAAACGGGAGCTGGAAACTAAGATCCCCAACGACTATTCATTCGATAAAGCCCCAATTGAGTATAACACATGGCTCGTCTTTAGACGGCTTGTGGATCTGATACTGATGTGTGACTTCGTGTCATACTGTCTTTTTGCGATAGCTTGTAGTCACCACCCTGTCAACGAGAGCGTGTTGATGACTGTCCTGCGATGGTCCGCCGGCATCGTGTTGGTGCTGTTTAACCTTTGGGTCAAGCTCGACGCTCATCGGGTGGTAAAGGATTTCGCTTGGTACTGGGGCGATTTCTTTTATCTCATTGACCAGGAACTTACGTTCGATGGCGTCTTCGAGATGGCACCCCATCCAATGTATTCGGTTGGCTACGCTGGCTATTACGGTATCTCCCTGATGGCCGCGAGCTACAAAGTGCTTTTCATTTCTATAATCGCCCATGCGGCCCAATTCGCTTTCCTAGTGCTTGTCGAAAACCCACATATTGACAAGACGTACAATCCTCCTCCGTCCCGCAAGCGTCCAGCAGAGCAGGAAACTGGATCTGTCTCGAGCCGCACTACCGATTCTCCCATTGCGCCAACGCCGGTTGATGAACAAATCCCCCACGCGCCAACCCTTTCAAGCAGCCCACCGCAGTCAGTCCACAATCTTTTAGGGCTCCACAACCTGGATCTGTATCGGATAACGGATACTTCATCCGTCCTTATCCAATTCCTCGTATTCGCTCTCACAGTTTTGACACCCTCTACACCTTGGTACCAATTTCTTTTCGTAGCTAATGCTGCTGTATGGAGACTTTGGTTCTCGATCGGTGTTGGGTACATGCTCCATCGCCAGTCGAATCACAAGGCGTGGACGCGGCACTTCGTTAAGTATGGTGAAACGCCCCAGGAAGCATGGAACCAGTGGAAAGGCACATATCATTTGAGTATGATCATGTGCTATGCCAGTTTCATTGCTGCAGTATGGAAGATGTATAACTTTCCTGCTGATTGGGGGTATGGCCTGGTCTTGCTCCGCCATGTCTTGGGAGCTGGCCTCATTAGTTTACAGATTTGGACCTCGGTCAGCATCTATGAGTCTCTCGGTGAATTCGGCTGGTTCTACGGTGACTTCTTTTTTGATGGCTCGTCAAAGTTGACGTATAATGGTATCTATCGTTTTTTGAACAACCCTGAGCGTGTATTAGGTCTGGCCGGCGTCTGGGGTGCAGTACTTATCACCAGCAGCGGAGCCATAACGTTCCTAGCACTACTCAGCCACATTCTCAGCCTAGCTTTCATCCAATTTATCGAGCGTCCGCATATGCAGAAGCTGTACGGCCAGAGTCTGCGACAGGATGCGGGGCTTGTTAAGAGCTTGAAAAAGTCACTGCCACCAACTCTTAGACAGCTCCATGGCAGCGTGGATAAGATCTTCGACGAGTCGTTCGAATTCATCGAAGAGATTATCGAGACGGCACGGCCGAAACTCGCTAATGGTGTCAACACATTCGTGAAGGATACCACTGCACTCTTCCAGAATTATCCCGCCCGTGTCACCATCTCACGCATTGACGAAGATCTGGCCGGGTACGATTCGCGGGACTATTCCCTAGAAGTTGAAGGCACCGATTCATCATCTTTGGCCGAATATGATCAAGGCACTGGTAGGGAGGGCGCTAACGCTCGCATGCCTCTTGATAGACGTGGTGACCTGAAGAACCTCGTGTTCGAATATGGTGCGCCGATTCAGGTCAAGTGGACTGCACCTTTAAATCATAGCAAGAAGGATTGGATTGGCTTGTACAAGGTCACCGATAATACGTCTCGTGAAGTTAGCCGGGTTTCCTCTCAAGGAAGGTGGATTGCCGTCAATGAAGGCGCCTATGATAACTTGACATGTGAAAAAGGAATCGTTAAAAGCGATATTGTAATCAAGGCTGCACAGCAACAGGATGGGGACAAGCGTGATCTTGCAACTGGCGAGGTTATCTTCTCTGGTGACAAGCTCTTTTGGACACAAGGCGTCTTCGAATTCCGCTACCATCATAACGCCAAGCACAATGTCATGGCAATCTCCAGACCATTTGAGATTCGCATCAGTCGATATGAAGAGGAGGATGACCATGAACTTACACAAGCGTCCGTGGAGAGGAGCCTGTTACCCGTCATCCGCAACTGCTTCGATCGGGATCCGGAGATCGCTCCGGAGGCCGTAGACGAGTCGTTCGGAAGCCTAGTGGATCGCGATGGTAAATTTGCTAAGCGAGTTGTGTTCGCCGTACACCAAATGTGAGTATTCTTTCTCCTGTATACCGATTTTTCTTCGCACTCATACTAAGTTTTTGCCATAGGTTTGGTGTTGAATTCGCACCTGGAGTTGTTCAGGCCGATGGAACTGTCCGCAACCTCGCCTGGAGGGTATGCAATGCAAAGAGGGTCCTGGTATGCACATATATATATCTCTCCCAAATCTTGCTGCTTAATCACTAACTTCTTGTCTTTCCAGGCTCCTTACAGTATGTCAAGGAACGGTGCGTCAACCCCGACTGAAAGGAAAGAGTAAGATGTAAGAAAATACCCAGTGAGCCTCTAATCAACGATACGATATGCTTGATATGAGCCACGGCAAACTTTTAGACATGGTTGCGTCGTGTCTGCCTGCGATTATTGCTCGGAAGACGCTTCTGCTTGAGGTCTATAGCAATACAGTAACATCATCAAAAGAACGGGAATGGGCTGAGAAGCAACGGTGGTCAAGGAAGTGAGTGGAAAGACTTGCCTACTTTTTCTGCATCCAAGATAGTGTTTAGTTATGCACTCTTAGTCCCGTACATATTATGAAAATATACTAGTTTCCTTTAGGACTAAATAGTTTAGAGCAATAAATACGACGCATTGAAAAATTTTTCACGAAGCAATTTCATTATTTCTGCTAAAGCTGGCCAACACATCTGTGTCTATATAGTTGTCGGGCATAAGTCTACAATCTGTCCATCTGTCAGCACAATGTGCTATCAAGAAGCGCAGTGTGTAATCGTAAGAAACTACCCGATATACAAGGCAGTTGTAACGGATTGATCAGCCAAGCCGGTTAATTCATCCCATCCCCTGCCAATCGCTACCCCTCTCCAAGCCGTCAAAACGAACAGCAAGTCGAGGCATAGAAAAAGACACAAGTCAAGCATAGCATACAAGACCAACAGAGACAGCGCAGATATACAACGACATGAGCCCACTATCCGAAACTCCACAACCTTCCTCCCAGTCGTCACACCATCTTTCGACGGCAGACAAATGGTCCAGTATAAGGGAGATGGATGAATGGATCGTTGTATTAGACACTGCGTGTTGATCGACGCAAGCTCGAGGGGAGATTCTCCAATGGAGATCATTGAATGGATTGACTAGTTGTCATCATAAAGATTGGGTGGTGGGTGTATTTATGTGCGGTGAAATTTTGCATACCTACTGGTTGTGTTGTTTTGTAAAGATGATGTGTAATTCCTGTATGATGCTTGAAGCTGTCAGCATGTTGTTTCATGACAACCATGAGTTGATGACAATTTGTGAAGCTTCCAATGGAATCAGAAGGTTTGGTATGGTTTAGTTTTCTTCAATATATTTGCAGAAGCAGAACTGAATAAAAACTTTTTTACATCATGAAAGGATTTTGGGAGCGAGAAGAAATTTTCGGAACATACCTTGTTAGTTCCAGATTCTGTGGGAGAATTCTGTTGCATGGTCCTGTCTAAACATTTAATGAGCATATAGCCAAGCATGTTGATCATAACAAAATGATTGTGAGGGATTATTGTCAGATGGTAGTGCATGTTGTTCAATGGCCCATTCGTTTGTCGCCGAACAGAAATTTTGGATAGTTTTCCTCATACAAAATGTGGTGGAATTTTGTTGTAGACTGGACTGGAGACTCACAAATAGTAATATTAGCACCGAGATACTATTGTTGCATTATGATGATCAAATGTTCAGACAAGACTGCATCATTAAGCAGGTAACCTGTCGGTTGTTTGTGTGGGAAAGTAAGAAAGGAAGAGAGAGAAGAAGAGAACCGAAGAAGGGTAGAAAAAGGAAGGAAAAATTGGCGTCGACTCCACTTGTGCAACCCAGGCAAACAGAACAAACATCCCTCCAAAATTGTAGATTTCCGTTTCTGGGCTTCGAAACCAGCTTCCCAAGTTGACTTCAAGTCTTCAGCCTCAACGACGTATTTGCTCGTCGCATCCCTTATCAATTATTCCACTGGATGCCAAGTAATGTGTAATGACTGACCGAAAAAGGATCAATGGGCCGCCCAGCGGTACGAGGCCTGCAGTCTTTGCCTCGTCTCTAAGCTCCGCCTCCGACATTGCGACTAGCCGACCACAACGTCAAAGGCAACCCAATGAGTTGCGGAAAATCTGTAAGATATTTTACCCTCCCGCGACGGTTTATGTAGTGCTTGGACTCACATGAATTAAACTTAGTCTTGAAAACCGGCCTCATTCCTTCTGCATCTGGATCCGCCTACCTTGAATATGAACCTTCGGCTTCTCTCGCCGCCGCACGCTCGTCACCCAAGTCTCTTATTCCCCCCTCCTCAGCATTGAAACTCGCCTGCACAGTACATGGACCGAAACCGCTTCCTCGCTCTGCTACATTCTCCCCCAACCTAGTTCTCACAACTCACATCAAATATGCTCCGTTCGCTGCCCGTAAGAGGAAAGGACATATCCGCGACGCCAGCGAACGTGATCTTGGCGTACACCTAGAGACCGCCCTGAGAGGGGTAATTGTCGCTGAGCGATGGCCAAAGAGTGGACTGGATATTACTATCACCATCTTAGAAGCAGAAGATGATCGTTGGTGGGGCGATGCGCCCGATTCTCATGATGCTCCATGGGGGATGATGAACGTTCTTGCCGGGTGTATTACAGCTGCGTCTGCTGCCATTTCTGACGCTCGCATTGACTGTCTTGATCTCATTGCTGGTGGTGTGGCTGCTATTGTCGCCGACGAATCAGAAGACGGTGAAGCCAAGCCGAAGTTGATGTTAGACACAGACCCAGCAGAACACCGGGCCATATTGTCCGCATGTGTGGTCGCTTATATGCCTTCCAGAGATGAAATCACAGAGATTTGGCTCAAGGGAGACAGCTCAAAGGCGCTGTTAGGACCCGATGATAAGCGCTCTGGACACGAAGCATTGTTAGATGGTGCTGTGGATGCGGCTCGAGGAGCGCATTCCGTTCTGGCTGAGGCTGTCAGAGAGTCTGCAGAGCGCTTTGCTGGTCTGGCTCCTGGGGGAGGTGCTACACAATAAAATGATCAAGATGAAATGTCATTGTATGCTCTAATATATCCTTTGTCAATTATCTTAGCATTGAATGTAAATGGGTTCCGGGTGTCCGCTTTTGTTCGAAGTACCGTAATTGCCAATCCGTAGGAAAGAGTATCGACGTCTGTGGAATAGACTGACGGTGATATTGGTTCGGGCTATACAATACTCATTTGAGAATATATTTCAGAAATAGCTGCAGTATATAGACTGGAATATGTTAGAGCTAGTAAGATTAGATTATCGTTACTACTGCATGTATTATTTGTCAAAAAAAAATTACTATAAGTAGTAATAGAAACAAAGGGGTTATTTGCAAAGATGACTGGTACTTATAGAGGCCATCTAGTAACTTCTATAGCTTTTATATATAAACCTATCCTCTACTAGTTTCGTACTGGGCCTCCCAATTTTCTAAGCCCGTAAGTCATTTAAAGATAACACCACTAAAAGGTTCTATAGAGTTCTTTTTTAGCCATTCTGGTTTGAATATAGATTGCTTATACTACACGAAATACTTGTTGAGTTGAATCGTTGTTGATTCCAAAACCCGCGTACGCTGCTGGCCTCTGCCATGTTATTGATAGATGAAGTTATAATATACTAGCTGCGTACAGGTACTCGCGATAGCTGTAGGACATTAGCCATGGCTGTACCACCATATTGGCAGTTGCCAGGTGAATGAATTGGCCAGTGACGTCTGCCTTCTCATGCCAGAGCTCATAGGTGAGAGCTTGCATTCACTCGATTTACCAGAACAACACGGCCTTTTGCTGCACTTCTTCCACACGCTACATTCTTTTCATCCTATCCATCATATCTCTTCCTACACAAGCTCTGTCAACTCTCACAACACACAAGCCAAACGACTTTGACGACGCTACAAGCCCGTCATGAAGCCTGCAAACCCGCGCCCCAAAGCGAAGACTGACGAGCACCTTGTGTTCCTGTATCTATGCTTGGTCAACTCAGGAGGGGCTAATAATGTAAGGTTCCACGCTCCTAAGGGAAGGTTGACATCCAGGAGGACTTAAGACACTCTCCACATGCGCATACAGCCTTGCGACATGTGATTCTTCACAAGAGCAAGGGAATGCAAGCTTACAACTACTTTGCAGATCGATTTCAATGCCGTCGCTGTGGCTTCGAACATCAACGTCCCAGCCGCGCGTATGCGCTGGGCCCGCCTGAAAGCCAGAATCGAGAAAGAAATGGCCGATGGCTCTAGCGATCCCAACGCGGGTGAACCGTCTGCCGCGTCTACGCCTACCGCCTCTCCCGAGAAGACAGCCTCACCTTCGAAGAAACGCTGTGTGAAGCGGAAGAACAAAAGTGAGCCTGAAGACGACGGTGTTGCTGAAAACAATGACGAGAGCAACCCTACTGCGGAGGCAAGTTAGGTCAAGCTGGTATATCCGTCTTGACATTGGCAAAACCGGGACAAGCATGGTTGAAGGGGTTATGAGGTATCAAGCGGGGAGATATGATGGGTAATTGGGTGAACATGTTGCTCCTTGGTTAAGCGGGACGATTTTATGGGGAGTGAGGCTGTGAAAGCGGGCGGTGTTTCTGGGCGGTACGTTGGTCTTGATGGAGCTTACATAGCTGAGGCAGAGAATTGAAGACTTTGGTGAACCGCGTGGTGTGTGCGTATGCAAGCAACGTAGACCCGTTGATAAAGGAGACTGATCTCCTTGATCGCTCATAGATCGACTTTCGATTAACCCAGGCATCCCTGTGTTCCATGGGTTACGTAGCTGGCCGTGACGTTCCTTGGCTGAGACTAACGACCGTTAGTATGTCAAATGCACGGTTCAGCCAGCCTCTGCCGAAGCGATGATGCACGAAAGCAATACTGTCTCGGAGGTGATTCAGAGCTGAGCACACCGAAGGCGTCCATGGTTGGCTGTCAAGTGTGATATCAAGGCCCCAGTCACATGGGCACTAGCCGCATATAGAAGAAATCAAAGACACTAATCGAAATAGCTTGACTGTGGCGAGTCATGGATGATGCGGTTGATCATGGTCTTCATATCATCATCAGGATTATGATAGCAAACGTCCCGTTGGGTAGCAAGTCACGCTTCATAGATCAATAATTCTTAAATGAACGGGTTGGGTTCTGGACCCGCAGGGATCAACAGAAGGTGCCGTGCTATTTACCGGAAATAGCCCTAGTGCAGTCATTCATTTGGCGACAAATCCATTTGGTGATTAGGATCGTTGATGTGTATACCGAATCCTGTTAGTTCGGGTGCCGGGGGCGGTTCATACAAGTGATTTTTTTTTTTTTTCCTTTTTTTTTGGTCAAAGGAAAATGATGCCCAATATTCTTGGGTCAATGATATAGACTTGGGATTCTTTTCTACCAAAATGTCAGCAACAGGTACAATTTCCTACAAGATACCCTGTACAGACATACGTACTGTACATCCAGAGCGTTGCTAGGGCTCAAGCCCTCTCCTATGCACAGAATATGATGGCTGTCAGGCAACCGTCTTCCTGTTCCGTCCCGCCAAATTTACCTTTCGTGCCGCCGCTTCAACGGTTGATGTGGTCCCCGAGGAATGGAGACCTCAGCACAGAGTACTCTGGAGTACGGATACTCAGGGGAAGTTTACACACATGCGTAACTTTCCTGTAATCAACAAGTTCTGTGTGCTTGTGGATCTCGACTCTTCTTTATTAAAAGGTCTATTATTGGCGATGGCTCTTCCGTGTACGAAGTACAGCAATCGGAAGTTCTCCCGCAGGCACCAAAGAACTGTTTTAGTTCGTTGTTCCTATTTTTCGGTATTCTCCCCCCATCTAGATCGTTCGCCATCTCGTTTCCTAGACTCATCGGGCTTGCTCTCCAAGATCCCGCCTTGGTCGGGTTTATTCCGGGATCTTATGGTTCCATCTCTCTGAGATCCTCGATAGACCTCCCCCAAACTGGTGTTCACGGAGTGTTTCCGTGCGATATGCAATCTAGCACGCTCACAACCCTAACTCAAGCCGAGAAACATGCAGGAGCTGTCACATATACGTAGGGTCCGCCTGGAGGATAAACTAACCCAATGTGGCTTTCGACACGAGTCCTCAGGAGGAAAAAGAAAGCATGGAAGTAATCTGCAGGCCAGGGTGAAAGGTTGACTATCAGCGGATATTGCTAATCATCTTACCGTCTTTCTTGATCAACAACCGTCGCTCGGAAGTTGCCAATCTCGAAGAAAAACCGGAATAGGGTACGTAGTTGGAGCGTCCGCCATGATATTTCCGTAATAATGTACGTACTACGTACTGAATTTTCCCAGTGGCTTGGTCCTAGGAAGTTACTAGCCGTACTTAGTACTAGTAGTCGTGGAAGTTCGGCTCCTACGAGAGCGAGACTGAAGCCCCCCCTTTTAGCTGGCCCTATTTAAATCACCTGTTGACGATCTCTGGCTGATGATATGCGAACGAAACCTCGGTTCAGGAACGGACTAACTCAGTCTAACTGACCCGGGACTAGCGGGGGCTGTCGAACACAGCATCTCGGGATTTGACTGGCCCGCAATTTGCCTACCCGAGCCCCAGTTCCAACCCTCTTTCACACTTCCCATGGTAAACTTTTGTTCGTACCGGGCGGTACAGAACCGCAATGACCAAAGTAAGTCCTTGGTACGGACTACAGTACTGCCATCTTTGCCAATGTGATGGAGTTCCACTTCTTTCTCCGTGAGAGCGTAAGTATTGCCCTCCCAAGCTATGTCACTAGTCTCATAGTCCCACTGTTACGCTTGTCCCATTCCGTTCCTGATTGGGTCGAAGACTGTGCAGATCCAATTTGAGTGGCATCGCTGTCAAGTGGAGTTCAAGCTCTACTTTTAGGTCATGCATGGTGGTCTGCACTGTGACCTTTAACCGCGGGTGAAAAGGCCCCTGCACATTCTAAACGAAGATTTTCACCGTGTGTGCATTATCATGTAGGGTTTTGGTCAACGTGCTGACCATGCATGATGCTTGTGATGGTGATGATGCTATGATGGTCCCCGAGGAGAATGGAGTAACACACCTAGACGAACCAAGACCAGACTATCAATTTGGACCCTGGACATGGCGTTGGGCTTAACGCTTGACTGCCTCCGACTAGCATTTGACTTCCCCGTCGGCGGATTCAGACCTCAGCCCCATCGCTTTGTCCGTCGCTCAATGGATCCTGGAGACTGGCCCATTTTCTTCCCCTGGATCCAGGAACAGGTATTGGATCTGCAAACCGGCTAAGTCTCGAGCATATGGAGTAAACTCTTTCTTTCCCGTTCCCCTCGATCGGTCGTTCTTCTTCACTGATGATTTTCTTCCTTTTTCAATCCACTACTTGCGTACAGTTTAGGATAGGGTGCGAGGAGAAACCTAGGTGCACATTGATATTATCATGAGAGCCGTGTAAAAAGGTTGCCCGCTTTGAGTTCTTTTCCAATCTGACCCTTTGTCTGTCTTTATTCTGGTTTTATTTTCTCTCGTTCTTTCTTCTTTCTTCTTTCGCCCTCGTCCTTCCTTGAACAGTTTTCCACACATTGATCTATGTCCGTGACGCTAGTTTCTCTCACCAAGAAATACTCTAGCGCGCATATTGCCCTACCGAGTGCGCCAGGCTAAACGCAAATACCGGAGGGCTTTGTTGCGATCTGGAATTGAGCAGCATTCAGGTAATCTGCTCGTGCACATTGACCCAAAATGGTTGCCCTAAAGCGATTTTTCCAAACGGAGAAAAGCTCGTCCATAAATTCTAAGGATGGAGCTACTCGGGAAAGCAATACACCAGAAAACGATCTGTCTTCAAGTGCGAGGAACTCGCAATATCTAGAACCAGACTATCCGTTTCAGCGAATTGAGAAACAGTTTGAAGTTTTGCATGATCAACTGCAGGCACGACCGCTGTCCCCACGTTCACAAGCTCCTCCATCTCGCGCCTCGAGTCGTAGCACGACTCGAGATCCGCGGCACGTTGACTTGCTGGAAGCTTTATTCTCTTCGCACAGATACCATATCCAGACTGCGCAGACGTTGTCACCCATTAGTCCGTACAATGAAGATATCGCAGAACGAAATATGACTCGATTCCTTCAAGGGCAGTCGGGCAAGCCAACTATGTACTCACGCATACTCTCTGCTTTATATCAAGAGGATGTGGCGGACAGAAACATTGCCAGAAGCAGGAGGGGTGGCCGTCCATCTTCTCGCAATACCGCCAGCCGCTCTCGTGGAAACTCCTTTCAACGGAGTTCTCAGAGCCACCAAGAGGAAGCTCGTTGTCGCCCCCGATCAAAGGCTGGCAGTAGTTTGGCTCGGTCAGTGTCTCAGGAAGCTCGGAGGTCTACCACCCCGCCTCAAGCTGACCAGCCAACTACTTCGCGACAAGATGTGTCCTCCGCCACCGAAAGCCTTGTCCGACAGCAAAGATCGGTGCCAAATCTTTCCGCCAAGCCAACTAATGGTCCCCAGAGGGAAGATGCTTCGAGATCTGGTGGATTCCTGGGCGTTCCTCCCCCTTACAAACAAGGCGACACATGGAGCAGCACTCCGTTACCGGACAGCCCAACTTTGCCCCCCATGGTAACCAGTGATACTGAGACCAGTGAAAGCCACCCAATGCCAGATCCACCACCTTCCAGATCAAGCCGGAGCCGCAGTTCTTCTGTGACTTCGGGTAGCCACAATCTGTCAAACGCAAGCAAATTGAAACCCAAAAAGAACGTCCGAGATCTGTCGATTGATACAGAATTGGCAGCTCGTGGAAAGCCGTCTGCGAAGATTACGCATCGTGCCATACAGCCACCTACTCCAGGTAGCTTGGGGATGAAGCAGAACCCTAGCATTGCGGAAGTTATGAACAGCCCACTCCCAGCTGGGTCACCAATCTCTCCATCACCAGGGGTTCAGTCGGACCAAAAAATTGCAGAGATAATGGATATGTTTAGACAGGCGTATACCTCGTCGGCTGCTATCTCTCCACATCCTACTTATGAAACTCTTCAGGATGCGATCATTCGGGAGATCAATTCTCACGAGGCATTCCAACGGGTACCGCCTCCTGAATCCGGGCCTCCCTTTACTCCTTCTTCCCAGCAGACCTATCCAGAAATCGACGCACCAAAGGCCGAGGCTCTAAGCACGAACCGGACTATGTCTCTGCGAGAGGGACAGATCTCCAAATTGATCAGGCGGGGCTCCTTCAGGAAACACAGGAGAGGGTCTGACGCGCGCAGGAGCATATCCACCAGTGTTCCTTCGAAAGTCTTCTGGAAGTCATCGGAACCCACCAGTCGGCGAAGGCACACTGATGCTCCTCCTCCTTCACCTGGCTTCTTCAATACTTTGGAACAGAACCAAGCACCTAAAGAGCCAGTGACATACATTGATCTCCTTTCCAAGACGAGGAAGTCTCCTGCAAATGTTACTTCGGGGAGAACACCAGATATGACTAGGAACTTCAGTAACCCCCAGCCACCGCCTACCGTGTCTCTTGAGAGCGCCAACCCAACGCCTTCCGTTTTCCACATGCGTGCACAGGCATCTATATCGTCTATTAACAGTCGTATCAGCTTTTCAGCGGAAGACAGTGACGAAGAGGTGATCGAACTACCCAGTGTTGGCATTCCACAGTTGCAAATCCATGGTGTCGACGAGAACAACGTGACCTATATCGCCGAAAATACCTCTCCACGAAATGCATTCAGACTGATGAGCTGGCCACAGAGGTCAGGCAGGAGCGTGAGCCTCAGGGGCAACTGGTTCACAAACGAGAACAACAACAGCCCCTCTCGATCATCCTCAAGGGGCGGGCTCACAACCCGCTCAGTAGCATCTTGCTGAATCTTTCCATGAAATCGCTCGAGTCGTCTGGCATCCCAGTCTTTAACGGAATCCACCCCAATATACCCTGTCCTATCTTACTCTACGCCACCCTTCCATTCCTGACTTCAACGCCTCCTTGACGATACTGTGCCTGCTTTATGTTGAGCTACATCTCTTTTACGTCCCTTCGACTCTGCAGATCCTGCAATACCTTCCTTGATTTTGCTTTCCTTGTCCTTTTCAAACTCTCAAGCGCATCTATTCCCTCGTCGGGCCTTTTCTTTTTGTTGATTTATATATCCTATGAGGATCTATGTCCTCTTGCATTGCATACCTACTTGGCATCTATCTGAACCTTTCCTTCCGTTTCTTGCATATGTTGCATATTAGCGTTGCTAGCATACCATGTCTACATATCGAACCAGTTACAATAAGATATTCTAAGATGAGATTATCATATCAACGTAGTTTATTCAATATCTCCAAACCACTGTATGACATGTGAACTCATCCTCCCACCCTGTAAATCACAAAGGTATTATAATTTTCAACCACATCCACTCCGTAACTCTCATGGAATATGCACATCTCTTTCTCTTTTCTTAGGTCTTTCTTTCTTACTTCAACGATGTCCCAATTTACCAGAAAATACAACAAAAGGATACTTGGAATTCTGAAAAAAGAAATGAAAGGAAATAAGTCATCAAACTCATAGTGACCGATCTAATGCGCTTGCTAGGTGCTATTTGACATCTATGCAGATAAGACCAAGGCGATCTATTGCGCTTAGTAGGAGCCTGTGGGGGGGATATGTTAGTTTATATTTTGATATCATGGGGGAGTTTACATGGGAACTTACGGCCGAACATGCACCATTTCTCGGCAAGCCGGGTGCACTTGGGGTTGACACACTTGGTCTCGCCGGCGACGATGCCCTCGGGCTGTTCGAAGGGGATGCACAGAGACTTCGCGCCCATGCTAGGGGCCTTGGCGTCTTCAGGGACGCCAGAGTCTTCCTCTGCCTTGCGGGCACTCATGTCCTTGATCTGGTCCTCGCACTCCTCGGTGAGACAGTGGGGGATGACACAGATGTTCTTGTCGTTGAGGGCTGGGGTGAAGTCGTCCCAGTTGGTGATCAGCTTGCGGTGAGTGCGGAAGGTCTCCTCTGCGCGGCTGTACAGATCCTTTTGGATCTGCTCCAGCAGGGCGGGGACTGCGGTGGAGAGCTCGGAGATCTGGATGCTAGACTTGCCGTCCTTGCCAGGGATGTCACGACGGGCGGCAGTGACGAATTGGCCGGCGGACTCGCCGGGACCGAACTCGATGCGCAGGGGCACACCACGGAGCTCCCAGTCGTTGAACTTCCAGCCGGGGGAGTAACCCTCTCTCAGATCGCTAGTAGCACGGACACCGGCGCCGGTCAGGACGTCGACAAGGCCGTCGATCTCGGCGTACAGCTTCTGGCGCTCCTCATCGCTGGTCTTGGCAGTGATACCGACGGGGACAATAACGGTTTGGGTGTCTGCGACACGAGGGGGGAGGACCAGACCACGGTTATCACTGTGGATCATGACCATGACACCAAGGGTACGGGTAGACAGACCCCAGGAGTTCTGCCACACGTGGAGAGGAGGCTTCTTCTCATCGGCCTTGGCGGAGGGGTCCTCGACGGTGATGTTGAACATCTTACTGAAGTTCTGGCCAAGACCGTGGGAGGTACCACCCTGGATACCACGACCAGTGGCGGGGATGTAACCTTCTACGGTAGTGGTGTACAAACCACCAGCGAACTTCTCCTTCTCTGTCTTCTGACCCTTGACCACGGGGACAGCCAGGAGCTCCTTGTAGATCAGAGCATACAGATCGAGAATGTGCATAACTTCATCATGGGCAGAATCCTTTGTCAAGTGAGCCGTGTGTCCTTCTTGCCAAAGGAACTCACGGGTTCGGAGGAAAGGCTGGGGGTTCTTGAACTCCCATCGCACGACGGAGTTCCACTGGTTCAGCTTGAGGGGCAGGTCACGGTGACTTCTGATCCATTTGGAGTAGTACGGGTACATAACCGTCTCCGATGTCGGACGAATGGCGATCTTCTTCTCGAGGGGGGTAGAGCCACTGCAAGCAAAGAGAAGACATTAGTAAATAGGGCACGCAGGAGTACGGCACATATGTGGGGGTCTGGAGGAACCGTACGCATGAGTCACCCAAGCAACTTCAGCAGCAAAGCCTTCAATGTGATCCTTTTCCCTGTTCAAGACATCCTCGGAGACAAACAGAGGGAACGAGCAATTCTTTACGCCGATCTTCTTGATGCGCGCATTGAACCAGTCCTGAATCTCTTCCCAGATAAAGTACGAAGCGGGCTGAGTCATATCAGTATGGAGGCTCTAGAAACCCATTGAAAAAGAGGCATTTCACCTTGAGAATGAAGCATCCCGAAACGTCGTAGTAGTCGAGCATATCACCCTTTGTAAGAACCTGCTGGTACCATCCTGGGAAATCTTCCTCCTTGGAGACGTCAATACCAATCAGAGCAGCACCTTCGATCTTCTTCTTCGGGGCCTTCGCAGCAGCGGGCTTCTTGGGCTCCTGCTTTCCAGCAGCCTTGTTGGCAGCCTTCTCAGCCTTCTTAGCGGCAAGCTCTGCAGCCTTTGCGGCCTTCTTCGCGGCATTCTTCGAGACATCTCCCTGGGGAGCATCCTTATCAGCGGGGTTTTGGGTGCGGTCAGGAAGGGTCTGAGTTACCGCCGCGTCAGAAGCGACCGGGGTGTCAGCAGGAGCTTGGCTCGCCATATTGTAAAGGAGCTGCTGAGTAGTAAGGACCAAGATAAACCAAAAATGCGGAGGCGAGATTATAGATCCGTGGAGAGGAAGGGAACCCCTCGTTAAAGTGGGATGCGACTAGAAAACCTTCACCGCCAGGAACCGGCAGAATTCTTAGCGGAAGCACGACGAGCATCAACGACGACGAACTGGAGTCGGAGCTCTACAACTCTGCCAGCAGTATCTTTTCCTCAGTTTCACAATAATGGCAGGCATTTTTGAGCAGCCGCGGAATGCGGACACTCTCTGTGTGTTTCCCCCCTCAAAGCCCTCCATCCGTCGGATTCATTAGCTGACCATATTCGCACAGTCTTGGGTGGGCAGAAAATCACCGGCCCTGACGTTCGGGAGCAGAACGGTATGTTAGGGACTTTTCATCTCAACTAGCTTCGATTGAATATAGGTGCTAAACGCGTGTGTAGTGCTCGCGACCCAAGCTATCGCAAATGTCGTCAAGAGCTCCTTCGGCCCCTCCGGTCTCGACAAGATGATGGTGGATGATATAGGAGTATGCACCGTTCAACCCCGCGTGCTTCAACTGGCATTCTGACAGCACTTTAGGATGTCACTGTTACCAACGACGGTGCGACGATTCTTAGTCTTCTTGATATTGAGCATCCTGCGGGTAAGATTCTCGTAGATCTCGCTCAACAGCAGGATAAGGAGGTTAGTGTCACACTCCGTCTGTCTCGCCTGACAGCTCAATATTGATGTCCATCTAGGTCGGAGATGGAACCACATCTGTCGTTCTTATCGCTGCAGAACTCCTACGACGAGGTAACGAACTGATGAAGAACCGTATACACCCTACCACCATCATCAACGGCTACAGACTCGCGCTCAGAGAAGCTGTCAAGTATATGAATGAGAACATCACCACAAAGGTCGAGACGCTGGGGAAGGACAGCCTGGTCAACATTGCTAAGACCTCGATGTCTTCCAAGATTATTGGCTCGGATGCGGATTTCTTTGCGAATATGGTTGTTGATGCGATGCTCCTTGTGAAGACGACAAACCAGAGGAACGAGGTCAAGTACCCCGTCAAGGCAGTCAACCTTCTTAAGGCTCACGGAAAAAGTGGCACGGAGTCAATGCTTGTCAATGGCTATGCTCTTAACTGCACTGTGGCTTCTCAAGCCATGAAGACCCGTATTACTGATGCCAAGATTGCTTGTCTGGACATGAACCTGCAAAAGGAGAGAATGAAGCTTGGTGTACAGATTACTGTTGACGATCCCGATCAGCTAGAGAAGATTCGCGAGAGGGAAGCTGGCATTGTCATTGAGCGTGTTGAGATGATTCTAAAGTCTGGGGCAAATGTTATTTTCACTACCAAGGGTATCGATGACATGGTCTTGAAGCTGTTCGTTGAGAGGGGAGCCATGGCCGTTCGCCGCTGCAAGAAAGAGGATCTTCGACGCATTGCCAAGGCTTCCGGTGCGACATTGGTCAGCACGCTCTCTGATCTCAACGGAGATGAGAAATTTGAGGCCTCGTACCTCGGCCATGCGGAGGAAGTTGTGCAGGAGCGGATATCCGATGATGAGTGTATCCTTGTCAAGGGTACCAAGGTTCACACCTCAGCTTCTATCATCCTCCGTGGACCCAACGACTTCAGCTTGGACGAGATGGAGCGTTCGGTGCACGACTCTCTGTGTGCTGTCAAGCGAACCCTCGAGAGCGGTAGCATCGTTCCCGGAGGTGGTGCCGTCGAGACCGCCCTTCACATTTACCTTGAAGAATTTGCGGTCACAGTAGTAAGAATTGACCGTAATACTTAGCATGAAAATTATCACTAACGATTATTCTTTCCACAGGGATCCCGGGAGCAGCTCGCCATCGGTGAATTTGCCCAGTCACTTCTGATTGTTCCGAAGACCTTGGCTGTGAACGCTGCTAAGGACTCGTCCGAACTTGTTGCCCAGCTTCGTGTCCGCCATGCTCTATCCCAACGCGTGCAGGATGGTGACGCCAATGAGGAGGAGAAGGCCATCGCTAAGAAGAAGACATACCGAAACTACGGTCTCGACCTTACGAAGGGTCGGGTTCATGATACCCTTAAGGCTGGTGTGTTGGAGCCCAGTATGGGCAAGATCAAGCAGCTTAAGAGTGCTGTTGAGGCCTGCATTGCCATCATGCGTATTGATACCATGATCAAGCTGGACCCAGAAGTGAAGGAGGATGACGGACATGGCCACTAATTTGACCTTTTAAGGTTGTTTGCATGCTATCTACGTGTTTCCACATGGAGTTTCTAGACTAAGGGTGAAGAAGAAAAGTATAATAAGATGGTATGAGCACATATTCACACGGCAGGTCGAACTTGTCTACTACCGACTTTAA